GTTTCCAAATGGCTGTGGACCCACGTGGGCATCCCTTTAATAGGCCAGGTTCCCATTGACTTCCTGCCAGGACTTGGCCATACCCGTGAGTCAGTAAAAACCCAGACATAGGGACTTTTTATCACTCTTCGATTCTTCCATCACTGCTGGGAAAACAGCATGCAATTCAGCACACCAGGCTGATCTGTTTTTACCTTCTTTGATCAGAGTGGTAGCCTTCTGAACAGAATGTTTGGCCATTCACTGTGGAACCGCCGCCCCCAAGCCAAGCAGCTCTTTGTCTTCACCGAGGGGCTCTGGTATCACAGTTCATGGGACTCCTGTATCAAGAAGTCCTGGAAACTTCTCTTCTCCACCTCCTGACCATTTTACTCACTCTTCTGCAAAACACTTTGGGTCTTCAGGGAGGGGGTTGAGCCAAGGGACTCGGGCCCTGTAGTCAATCTTTAACCTGGTTAATCCGCCTAATCATTGCTCAAGCGATTGCTGGTGTAGGGCAGGCAGGCATTTCCTCTACCCACTCCAGGTCCTTCTGGCCAGACTATGAATTAAATTCACATGAGACAGAATAACAGCAGAAAATCAAACAAAGCTTTATAACATGTACACACAGGAGAGACCCAGAAAAACTGATAAACTTGCCAAAATGGTGGAGGTTCTCTTCTTAAATACCACACTCAGCTAAAGGCAAAGGAGGATGTTGGGGGTGGGGGGAGTCAGTTACAGAAGATTACCAGAAGAGCACAGTAAACAAGTTATTATGCAGATTTAAGTCCTCGCCTTCCACATTGATGAGAGTTTCTAGAGATAAGGTCATCTCCCCTTCTTCCTGGTACAGAGAGGGAGACACCCTCACAGATGGAAATTTCCTTTACAAATGTCTCTTAACAAAGGGTAACCCCCACTTTTCAGAGTTTCTCTCATGACTGCAGTTTTTAAAAGTAACCAGCCCAAAATAATCCTCATGCCAAGGAGACGTATCTTGGCATGGCCAATTCCAGTCGCCTGCACTGGTCATGTTTCTCATTGTAATTTTTGCCTTCTGGCTTTTCAAATTTCTCCAAACTGGGGTAAATAGAGTGCTCTTTTTTGTGCCCATTAATGTTGGAGGACTAACAGGGGGTCCCTTTGGCCCACCCAACCTTTGGTAGTGCTGTATTAAAACCTTTGCTTTAACCCCATCAGTGTCTGTTTTATTCACCCCATTTCTTAACCAGCTAAAGGTCCCCCTGCTGGGATGCATCCCACGACTCCCCCTTTCTGTTTCCTCCTTGTTTCCTTCCTGTCAATATTTGCTTTATTCACCTTATTGCTTAATAATCATTTAAAAATTTCCGCTTTTTTGGAAAGTGCCTTGACTCTCCCCTCAGCCTCTTCCCATTCTCTTGTTAATTAGACTAATGTTTTTATTAGCATCTGTAAGACACATGCACAGCTTCCTGAACTGTCCCCTGGTTTTTCAACAATAAGGTGATGTGGGGTGCCCAGGTGAAGTGGCCCCCTTAACCACAGCATTAACCATGACCTGGGGCATATTCAGTGGGTGAATATCCCAAACATCATAAAGCCAGCCCCACGTGGCTTGCGTCTGAAGCGTATCAGCTGCTCCCTCGGGCATACTCCACTTGGCATTTGTAGATGGACAGCCCCTCTCCTCAGGGTAAACAGACCTCACAGTGGCCACAGTGGCTTTCATCCAGTCCACCAGGCTGGCTGTTCCCTCAGGACTAACCTCCTGTGTGTCTGGGTCACATACAGCCATCCGTGATTGTTCCATGGGGAGCTGTGCGTCCTGTACCAACCCAAACATGCTCTTCCATCTGCAGGACTTGAAAGCAAAGACACAGCCCCAAACTCATTACTCTCACCATCCGTTTTAGTAAAGGTCCCTCAGGAAGCTGACGATACTGATCCACAAAATGCAACACCTCCTTCACACGGTACCCCCTGGTTTCAGTCATTTCTTGGCTTTGCCCTTCCCCCACATTGACTACCTTCTTGGTGACCAGAGGTCTTAGAGGTACTTTCTGTTGTCCCTGCACAATTTTCACTTTGGGCGGCTGCTTTGAGGCTAGTGGTCAAAGCTCGGACTCAGTAAAACCTGAGCTGGGTTTAGCATAAAGGCCCAAACCAACACTTTCTTTTGCTTTCATTTTAGCTATTGTGGAGAACAGTAACCAAGGGATTGTATGTTTGGCATGCTTCTTACTATTTTGCATTTCCTTAGATAGTCAGCAAACCAACTCCTTAGGAGTAGGGTCTCCTACCATTTCTAAATTCCATTGGTAAGTTTTTCCTTTGGGAACTGATCACAGCACAGCTGCAGTTCCACAGTATGGGTGACTAGGGAGCCATCTAGGGATCAAAGGTTCTTCAACTCTGCCCTTTTATCCTTTCTCTTCCCCAACCACAGGTTTCCATGACCCAGGGCCAGTTTAGCAAACTCCACTCCTAATACCAACTAAGGGTTCTGAGAACCCCAATTCCAATGGGGGGTGTGTGTGGGGGGGGTTTCCCACCACCAAGCAATTCTCCAATTTAAGCTGGGTGTCCTACAATTCAACTCAATTTCGATACTATCTACTTGAAGCTAGTGTCAGATTCCACAGGTTAAGCGTTCAGTCCTGCAAGACAGCCCCCTCCTGCTACAGATGCCAGCTGTATGTTCAGGTTATCACCCAGGCTTCTGACAGACTGCCTATAGATCGGAGATTCCAACCACCCCTCCTCCTTGGGTTTGGTTAATTTGCTAGAGTGACTCACAGAACTCAGAGAAATATTTTACTTACTAGATTATTGGTTTATTATAAAAGGATGTAACTCCTGGAAGAGATCCATAGGGCAAGGCATGGGCAAGGGCTGGAGCTTCCATGTCTTCTCCAAGAATGCCACTGTCCCTTAATGTCCACATGTTTACCAGTGCAGAAGCTCCCTGAACCCTGTCCTTTTGGGTTTTTATGGAGGCTTCATTACATAGGCACAATTGATTAAACCATTGGCCATTGGTGATTGAACTCAACCTCCAGCCCCTCTCCCTTCCCAGAAGGTCAGAGAGGGTGGGACTGAAAGTTCCAATCACATGGTTGGCTCTACTGGCAACCAGCCCCCATCCTTAGGTACTTTCCAAAAGTCCCCTCATTAACGTAACAAAAGACACCTTTATCGCTGTTATTACTTAGGAAATTCTAAGAGCTGTAGGAGCTCTGTGCCAGCAATGAGGATGAAGACCAAATAAATATTTCTTATTATAAATTACAGTATCACCAGCTTTAAAAAAATTTCCTGAGAGTTGGTGGTTCTCCGAAGTGTGGAACACTCATCAAGTGCTCTGAAGATGCCCGGAGTTGAGGAACATCGCCCACAGCAACTGCTGGAGGAGTCCGAGCCTTGGCAGCTTCAGCGCCAGCCTTGGGAGAAAGACACTTGCATGGTCCTGTGTGGTTTTTGCAAGTATTTGAAAATCTTTCTGCAATTTGCTCTTACTGTTCTTTAAAACAGAGCGGAAAACAAACAACTTTTGCTGAGACAAGTGATAACACAACTGAGGCAAAGTTGGAGATCTTTATAGTTGCTGAAATCAGCAAATTGTTAGCCTCAAGCCTGGCTTGTAAAGGGAAGTCCAAAATTAAAGATTATGTAAGAAATGTGGTATCATTCAAGATCATGTCTAACAGATGAGGTGTGGTGTAGATGGTGAAAATAAAGAGGTTTAAATTTTTGGATTGAGAACCATTAAAAAATTATTTTGTGGTTCCAAACACAGAGAGACGTTCACAGATCCACAGCACCGATGACAGGATGCTGTTTGCTACAGACCCTTTAGCAGGAGAGAGAGAAGGCTACTGCCCAGCTTGGCCTTCAGAGTCTTTGCAGGAAGTAGGTAAGTCAGCCTCAAAGTTGGTGATCACACCCTTAGGCCCCATTCCCTGCAAGGCCACCATCGATGATTTTCCGAGCCTCTAATTAATTTCCTCTATTCATTAAATACCAGCTTAAGTAAATTGAGCTATAATTTTTGTTTAGAAAACTGTTTTGTATTGTCTATACCTGTACATTCAATCTACATTTTAAGTGTTTTAAATTACCGCCACATATATACTTAAAATAATTTATGCCATAGTTAGGGATTTTGTCATATAGTCTAAACTTCTAAGTGTACTCCTGGGCTTTTATACATTGGACCTTTTTTCATGTTTCTGGAAAACATTCAGTTATGCTTAATTGTGTAATATTTAAAACACACAGAAAATTACAGAGAATAAATAACAACCACTCATTCATTTACCCCTCCCTGATTTAACAAATGTTAAAATATTGTGTTGAATGTTAAATTTAACAAATGTTAGTTCCCTCCCCACCCCACCAGAGGCAATCACTCTTTTGATTTCTATCTTCATAGATTAGTTTTGCCTGTTCATATGAAAGGAATCAAACACTATGCATCCTGGTGTCTGGCTTCTTTTACTTATTATAAGGTTGAGATTCATCCATGTTGTTCTGCAGATCTGTTACTTGCTGCTGACTACTAAGTCCATTGTGTGAATTTCCCAGTTTGGTTATCCATTCTCCTCTTGATGGCGTCTGCTTTTTTAAACAACACCCTCACCCGTGCCCTTCCTGCCCCCACACCCCTGACACTGTTATCTGAGGTGGTGGTCTGCCTCTTTCCAGGCTCCATCCACATGGTGGAGGCTCCATAGCCATCTGTTCTGCCCTTTCCACTCATATGCAGCCTGGTTTCTGAGGCTACCAGGGACCCACCTGAGAGCTCCCAGGACCCGTTGGGTACCAACTGGGCCTCAAGGGCTGCGGTAGGGTGGTCTTCTGGGACAGCCAGGCCCTGAAGAAGGAAGCCGGATTCCTGGAAGTCACAGTGGTGGGAGAGTATGGGGGATCCTCCCCAAGGGTGTGTTTGACCTCCTGCCCCTGCCTCTGTTCTATGATTAACCAAGGACTTCCTCACTGTGCCTTCCTCCCACCCTTCAAGGCCCTGAGTCATTATTTTAACTCTCCCCCAAGACACTGAGCACCTTTCCGTGCTCTGTTACACAGCGCTCCACTTCTCGTCCAATGCACTGCTCAGCGATGGCCTTTGAAGTTATGCTTCTCCTGGGTGGTGAGTGGGTATCCTCAGGGCTAACAGAAGCCTGGTGGGGGGTCTCTTTTCTGCAGGGCAGGCTAGCACCTGGTGGTCAGCTCATACAGCTCTCAAGAGGAGCTGGAGGCAGGGAAGGGGCCTAGTGTCCAGGATATGGTGTGGAAGGAGGAATGGCCTGGAATCTGGGGAAGGGCATGACCTGAGCAAAGGTGAGGGAAGATGGGCTCGTGGGTCATGCTTGGATGGAGGATGAGCTGCCTCTCCGTGTTCCCCAAGGCTACCCTCCTTCCCTCCCTCTCGTGGGGGCCCTGGTGTGGGTGCTGTGGGGGTGAGAGGAGTCTGCCTCAGAACCCTGGGAGGGGAAGGCCACAGGACACGTGAGGGAGGGAAAAGGTTGCGGAGCCTCTCCTTGTCCTTCATTTCTCCCAAGTCTTGATTTCAGGTAGGCTTTTCCCCTGCTGCTGAGAGAATAGCGCAGAAGTTGAAAACTGTATAGGACCACATATGTGTGTCATTTAAAAAGTTAGTCTTGTGTCAGTTAAAAATCAGATTTCACACAAAAACCGATTCCAGCTTCTCTTGAGAAATGGGAAGGTCTGGCAGCTCTGGGTACTAGGGCCTGGGAATGGCTCCCTCCTTTAGAAGGGCCACAGCTCTAAGCGCCCAACATTCCTGGTGCTCATACTCACCCACTTCATTCACTGAGGTCACCTGCCAGGCCCCTGGGGCACTTGAGTTGGAGACCCTCGGTATCCTGCTACTTGTCAGGTCATAGGAGCTGCTTTCAGACTCGGAAACATAATGATTCTTTGAGAGGAAGATGCAGGATGTGAGGTTCCCTTGCAGGTGGCCATTGTAGGGTCTCAGCACCCTAAACATCTGGCCTCTTCTCAGAACCCCAGGGTTCAGGTGTCTGGACCCTCCCTGTCACTGCCTGGTCTGATGCTTGACTTCCTTAGAGCTTCCTACTCTTGAGATGGGACCTAACTCCTCAATCCAGAGACAGCTGGGAATTCTGGGAGGAATGGGGAGGAAAGGTGGCCATTTGGGAGCAGGGTAGTCAGAAAAAGCCCTTGAAATGTAGGGGTCTTCTCCTGAGGCTTTTGAGCTTAGCCACCAGGGAGGGTAATGTGTTCGGTCAAGGATCAGGAGAGTGGGTTGGAATCCCGGCTGCGCCAGTGACTTATTGTGCAGTTCTGGGACAGCCAACAAATAGTAATTAGTCACCTGCTGAGGGCCAGGCATTGTACAGGCACAGAGACAAGACAGATGCTGTCCTTGCCTCTCAGAGCTTGGTGCCAAGGGAGGGGGACATGGGAAACACATAATTACAAATAATTAATTGCAGCGTTCTAAGTCTGTTCCCCAATTTGGACGTTAGTGTCTCTGTATAATGAGCAGATGGAGCAGGACAGCCTTTAAGCGGGATGACCATACACTCTGGTTTGCCTGAGGCAGTGCCAGTGTCCCTGGTGTCATTATTAACGGTACCCCTTTCATTCTCAGAAGGTCTCGGTTTAGAGAGTAAACTGTGCAGTCACTTTATCTTTAAGAGACATTCCTGATCTAACGTACCAGGTGACTGGCCTAATTTCAAATTGTGGGTGTCCTTTAAAGTGTCCTTGATGGGGCGTTTCTCCAGATTGTTGCCCTTTGCCTTGTGGTTTGATTCCTTTTGAGGGAGGCAGAGAGATGGGAACCATACAGAAGGCAAATCAGGAAACAAAGACGAGAACACCCTTCTCCTGGGCAGATGGGGAACTGAGGCTGGAGTGGGGTGGGCATCAAGACCCCAAAAAGCCAGGGGTCCAGAGAAGACAGTCGGGGTCTCTGACTTTCCCTGCCACTCCGCCTCCCTATATCCCTCAGTCCTGGCTTCTTGTCACGGATTCAACTTGGATGTGGAGGAGCCCAAGGTCTTCCGGGAGGACGGAGCCGGCTTTGGGCAGAGTGTGGCCCAGTTTGGCAGATCTAGGTAGGCTTCCCTACTCCCCGTCATCCCCCTCCCCTCAGCCTGCAGGCAGGTGGCTGCGTGTGGCACACCCAGGAGGTGTCCTGGAGGGAGGGCAGCATGGGTGAGGCCCTGACAAGGACTCCTCTGAGGCCTCTGACACACTGCTAACCACTCACAATCCAAGGAAGGGCCACGAACTTTGGGCAAGACATGCCTTGGGAAGGAGGCTTTGAACCTGCCCGAACTACGATTTCGTCTTTGCATTTGTGTTTTGTAAGTAAAGATGTGCTGGGGGCTTGGAGTCTCACCTCACACACTGCCCAGCTCTTATTGCCTCCCGAGGAAGAGTTCTCAGCAGCCTGTCCCCTGTCCCCCACCCAGGGACCCTGGCATGAGCTGGGCAAGGTCAGGGTCAGTTGTTTCCAGCTCATCCAGTCCTGTGAGGGTCTCCTGTGAGTATCCCTGTACCTGAGGGAGTGCAAATAGGAAACACCAGGACAGGTAGAGAGGAAGAGACCACAAAAGAAAGGAAAAGCACTTTTTCCAAGAACAAGAGGCCCTGCCTTTTAATTTTACATCATGACTGGCAAATTATGTACTTGACCCTGCTTCTAGGAACTCACATTCTCAGGTGCCAGAGACAGAGACCCAAGGAGTTGAAGCCACAATGTGATGCAAGCAGAACCAAAGTCTGGGAGGCACAGAAAGGGAGAGATCAAACCCTGGAGGGAATTCCAGGAAAGCTTCCTAGAGGAGGTGGCATTGGTAATGTGCCTGAGAGCACGGGAAGTTTCAGTTGGCCAAGAAGGAGTGTACTGAGGTCGCTGAGTCCTGAGTGCACATCCTTCCCAGCTGGCAGGCTGGAGACATGGAAGCAAGCGCCAGGCACCAGAGCTTCGTTTTTTTTTGAAATATAACACAAAGACCAAAGTGCGAAAATCGAAAAGCTCCAACTCAATGAATTCTTCATATGTGTGTACCTAGATAACCACTACCTAGATCAAGGTGTGGAGCATCTTCAGCCCCCAGGCCCCCCCAACCCCTGTTCCCTTGGGCCCCTTCTGATCCCCCAACGCTCAACAAATCCAGAGATACCCACTGTCCTTCCTTCCTCACCATCAATTTGCATTCAGGCCCAATTTCTTAAAAAATGAATATAAAACTACTGATGGACCACTATTCACCAGTATTTACAAGAAAGTAAGTAATATATACTGGATAACATTCTGATTGCTACAAAGTTCTTGTTTTTCCTGGTTTCTGCTGAATTGTAATCCGAATACTGAAAAGACTGAAATTACGTGGAAGAATGGGTTGGTGTAAAGAAAAACATTCAGGTCAATAGTTTAAGACTAAAAGTTTGGTCACCCATTTATGCCAGCAGGTCCCGTCTCTAGCCATCTGCTTGCGTTTCCATCAGCAAGTCTACACACACAGGGATTTCAGCTTTCTGGGAAGAAATGGCTCTCTAGAAGGAAACTTGAAATGCCAATTTAACAAGACTTGCTTGGCTAATTAATTAGAATATGCCAGTATTTGTCTAGTTTTCTCACCTGAGTGGAGAGGTTGTTGGTAGCAACAAAACTTTTCCAAAATTAAAAAATTCTCTCCTCTCAAGGTTTTGCAAATAAACTGTTGCATTTATGTGACTATAGATAGAGATATGGATTCTGATACAACTGCTTTAAATGGTCCAATTTAAACTGTTTATGTTATATTTAAGTTGTTCAATTAATTATGAATCATCTATTTGTTCTGAAAGCTTATAACTTCAAGAAGTTTTTCCGCTTGACTTGAGGTGATCTGTTCCTTAGGTTGCTCAGAATGATGGCAACCCTGAAACAAGCGCACTCACACATGGTTGAGAAATGCTGTTTTTGTTTTGAATAGCTTTATTTTTGATGAATGTTAAAAACAAAACAAAACCCAAACCACTTGTATACACACATACACATGTATTTATGTATACACACACACACACACACACAAATAAACCAAAAGCCCAGCATGGTCCTTCAGCATTTGTGAGTTAAATTCAGGTCTTGGTTTTCAAGTAGCCTCACACATGGCAAAAGCTAAGAGCTTCCCTCACAGTCTCGCTTTCCCATTGCACGGCGAGACTTCCTTGCTGGAAGCTCCTTGTGCCCCCCACCCTTCCTGCAACTGTATGTCATGGTTGTGCCTTCAGATTCGTGGTAGGAGCCCCCCTGGAGGTGGTGGCGGTCAACCAAACAGGACGGTTGTACGAGTGCGTGGTTGCCACCAGCCGATGTCAGCCCATCTCGCTGCACAGTGAGTGACTTGACCCAGGACCTGGGTCCTCAAACCTCCTCCACCTGACTGCCTGCTCCTCAAACTCCAGCCCAGTCTCCTTTCCTAAATAAGAGTGTGCCTATGAGTGTGACCATGTGTGTCTTCCCTCTTAGCACCCCCAGAGGCCGTGAACATGTCCCTGGGCCTGTCGCTGGTGGCCTCCGCCAATCTCTCCTGGCTGCTGGTGAGTTTTCCTGGGTCACAGGAGAGTTGCGAGGGGAGGAGCCAGAGGCAGCTGGGGCTGGGGGAGAAGAGGAGGGGTGTGTTCTGGGGCCCCCTTGCCCATACAGGCCTCTGCCTCCAGGTGTGCGGCCCGACCAGTCACAGAGCCTGCGGGGAGAACATGTATGCAGAAGGCTCCTGCCTCCTGTTGGGCTCGCACCTGAAGATCATCCGGAGGGTCCCCACTGCCCTGCCAGGTAGGTCCCTTAGAGATGGCAACTCTGTGTGGAGCGCATGCTGGCACTGAGGAGTGCGCAGAGCTCCCACCCTGGGTCTTGGCCTCCTGTGCCCATGGTTCCTTCCCAGAGGCCTCAACAGGCCCAAGAGGGGCTAAGAGTATGGTCTGGCCTGGCAGGGAGGGCAGCTCATGGCAGGAACCCTAAGCTGGTTGAGGGGTAGATGTTCTGATGGGGCAGAAGGGAGCCCCAGTGTGCTGGCTGCGGGAGACATAAGGATCTTACAGTTGTCAACAGCTGCAGGGACACTTCTCAAACTTTCAGAGGAAGGGCCTGGGATGGTGAAAATGTGTGGTGAGGATGATGGATCCAGGGATCCAAGAAGGAGGCAGTTCTGGATTGTTCGCTGCTGAGCTGCCAGGAGTCCTCAGACTAACTCTTACCCTTCTAAGGGGAGTGAACGATAGAGCCATGGAAAGTGTGATGCCAATTTTACCAGCACTGATGTCTTCCACAGAGAATGGCGCCTGAGGACACAGCAATGGCATCTCTCTGAGAGTTAGTCTGCATAAGTTTGTCTTCTGTGTCCTTGGGCAAGTGGCTTCATTTCCTGGGCCTTAGTTTCCTCATTAGTAAAATGGGGCTTAATAATTGAGGTGATTATGAGGATTAAACGACAATATATATATAAAATGTTTAGATCCCTGCCTGACACATATATGTGATAGCTGAGGACCATGGGTTTGGACTAGGAGGAAGATATAGATAAACTATCTCATCTGTGGTATCAGAGGGAAAAATGGCCCCCAAGTGAGGGCCAGAGGCCACTCAAGGTGCTCACGGAGAACAATGCTTTGGACCAGAAAAGCCATGATGCCAGGCATGGTGGGCTTTTAGCCAAAAGTCAAGCAGCAGCAAAAACACCCCCAGACCAAATTGTGAGAGCAGAGTCTACAGAGGGGACAGGGAGAGTGGAAAAAGGGTCTCCAGGACTCCTGGGGGTACTATGCCCCACCTGGGATGTCTTTGCAGCCAGGGCAGGGAATGTGGCATTTAAACACCAGGAGGTAAATGTCTTCTCTTAGATATCACCATGGCTGGTGAGGTAAGATGCCTGATGAAAATGGGACATAGGCACGTAGACCTGGGCAGGCAAGGCAGGTTTGAGTAGAAGTGGAAGGGACTGTGTGCCAGGCAGTGCTGGGTGTCTGGTGTGCCTTACCTTATTGCATCCTCATAAGACTCTGGGTGGTGGGCAGGATGATCCTCATTTTACAGATAAGAAAACTGAGGCTCAGAGAGGTGAGTTTCCATTGGTAGCAAGTGGTAGAGCCCAGAGCTTGAGCCAACCTTGCCTAACTGGCTTGGTCCTTTTTCGGAAGGCACTCAGCTACAGCCAGGTGCCTGCTGTTGGAAGCCCAGTGGATACAATAAAAGCAGCAAAAAACAGAAGTGACATTATGAGGGAGGTTGCCACAGGCCTGGCCTGAGAGAGGATGTGGAGGTTGGTTTTGTGTCACAGCTAAAAAGTGGGCACAAGTGCAAGATGTGGTGATAGGGAACTCCAGCTACCCAGCTATGGGGAAATTTCAGGTGAGAAGGGGAGTGCCTGAGGGCTTCTTGGCCTGCCGTGTAGATGGCTGGATGTCCTGGTCATTGAGGAAGCAGGGAGGGAAGTGATCTTCCATTTCTTCTCAGCACTGGTGAAGCAACAGCTGTTTGAGCAGGTGGGGTGGGGCAGGAGTGAGGAGTGAGGGGAAGGCATTTTTGCTTCAGTGGCCAGAGGCAGCTGCTATCGCAGCTCGGCATCACACCTCAATGCTATGATGGTCTGATCTCCCACCGCCCTGGGAGCAACACAGGATGTGGGGTGCTGGTGGAGGCACTGACTGGGTCCTGCACACAAGCCACAACCCGCCACGTGAGTCCAGGAACAATCTGAAATGTCTTGTTTGGTTTTGCACATATGGTGTGTCTTTCCATTATGATGTGAACTCCATGAGGGCAGGGATGGTATCTTTTTTCAAAAATCTATGGTCTTAAATCAGATTTTCCTGGAAGGAGACTCTGAGGCTCATTTGGGAATGTTCTCAGGAGCAATACCTGTGAGAGTGTGAGGGAAGCGGGACTGGGCAGAGGGTAGACTGCAGAGCAATCAGAACAGAAGCCTCAGTCGACCCACAGGGAGCTTGGAGCGTGGCCGTATATGGGCTGCTCCCAGGAGCAGGAGGTGTAAGTGTGGGCAAAGCGGCTCCCTCTTGACTGGGGTGATGCCTGGGGAGGGACTCAGCTGGGAGCCATCGACAGCAAACTCCCTGCAGCTGGGAATGAGCACTGCTGTCCTGATAGAGGTGGATCTTGGCGGCACACCCCAGCATCCCTTGCAGGTGTGTCCTTGGGCCTAGAACAACGCCTGGCACAAGGTGATGATGGTGATAATGGCTACCCCTTATGAGGCGGGGCAAGTCTTGTCTTGAGCACTTTATGTACAGATTAATTCTTTTTATCCTTGCAGTAATCCCATGTGATAGGCACTATTATTATCCCCATTTTATGGATGGGGAAAACCGAAGCCCAGAGAAGTTATGTTAACTTGCCTGAATTTACCACTAGTAGGTGGTGGAGCTGGGATTTGAGCCCAGGCACATTGGCTGAAGAAAGCACACTCCGAACCACTTGGCTAAATTGCCTCCCCCTTTTCCAGGCCTTGTGGGAGGAGAGGAGCAACAGGGACTCTGCTGAGGGGAGGAGGGGCTGGGGTAACAGGTTTGGGCCTCCTCTGCGGAGGGTTAGAAACCCAGTGGGGTCTGATCCTTATGCCAAGAACGGCCCTCTGACTGTGTGGAACAGGAAGGGTTTCTGGGCCCCAAGAGAGGGCTGGGACCACAGGTACATCTCTGATTCCTCCCTCCCATCTCTGCAGAGTGTCCAAATCAAGAGATTGACATTGTCTTCCTGATCGACGGCTCTGGCAGCATTGCCCCGAGTGAATTTAAGCAGATGAAGGACTTTGTCAGAGCTGTGATGGGCCAGTTTGAGGGCACCAACACCTTGGTGAAGACTGGGCCCCCGAGGCCTGGGGAGTGTGCTGTGGGAGGGTGTGCCTCTGGGGAAGGTCCTGGGAGGGGGCCTGGCATCCTGGGGGGTTGGCTCAGTGGACCCTTGCCACGATGAGGCTAGGGTCCAGGGTCAAGATTGGTTCCAGAGGTTCCCCCATGGTATGTCCCCACACGCCACAGGAAATACGATCTTTTTCTGTTTTATGGGAAATTTGAAGGTAACTTGGCCAAAGAATTGATGATTTTTTAATTATGTTTTCCGTGTAACTCATGATTTATTTATTATTTTATTTCCCAGTAGTGTATATGTATGTATAAATTCTTGAGAAGTAAGGAAATACAGTCTACAAATTGACTTCGCATGTTATAAAATTAGAAAACAACTAAGCTTAACAAATATTGCAGTTGGCAAGGTTACTCTTTGTAAACTACAAAAGAAACATTATTTGGTTTCAATTTTCCAGTTTTCTTTTTAGGCCAAAGTTTTTTCTGGGTTTCAGTATATTATTTGTAGGGCCTCCAAAACACATGGGATATGGTTTGTAAATCCAAAATTATTCCAAAATAAAAAGTTCATTAAAAAGCAACTCCTGAGCCCTAGGCCCGCCTCTTGGTCTTTGCAGTTCTCGCTGATGCAGTACTCAAGCGGCCTGAAGACTCACTTCACCTTCTCCAAATTCCGGAGCAGCTTGAGCCCTCTGAGACTGGTGGATCCTATCGTCCAACTGCAGGGCCTGACATTCACAGCCACGGGCATCCTGGCAGTGGTGTAAGCGCCCTCTCTTGCTGCCTGCAGATACGCTGCCGCATGGCTTCCTCATGCTGGTCTGTAGGCCCTCTCCTAGGCTGAGGGAGGCTCTGGGGAAAGGGGCTCAAAAGGAAAGTATGGGGGCTGCGGGCAGAGTCCTCCCTGGAGTGTTTCTGGCTACCTTGCTCACTGCGTTCCCCCTGACATAGGATGGGACTCCTCTGCACCTGTTTCCCCCTGCCTGGCCTTGGATTGGCAGAACCCTGAGCCTACCTGGGTTAGCAGAGGCCTGGGCTTTGCTTCAGACACATCTGGGTTCCCCTCCTGGCTCTCCGCTTGCTACCTGGGCCACCCTGGGAGTTACTGACTCTAAGCCTCAGTAAGATGTCAAATGAGGACACACTCACAACATAATTGGAATGACTAAATGGGATAAATGTGTGAGGTGCTTCTGCTCAGGAAGTGCCGGATAAGTGGTTAGGATTTATCCGGAGAACGGTGCAGTCTCTCTTTACCTCCCTGGTGGGGACTCAGGAATTGTTGCCAAATGTCTTCTATGTGCCTTTCACCCCACCCACCTCCCTCCATTCCCTCATTCTTCATCCATGTGTGCCCTCTACATTAACTAGGCGCTTACTATATGCCTGCCCAGCATCGGGTGCTAGGTGGTTCATGAAGAAAATGGCTTAGGTGTTGGGGCCAGAACAGAAGAGGATTCTCACAGGAAGGAGCTGGGCTGAATGTCTGGGATCCCTTTTTTTTTTTTTTTGGAGGAAGATTAGCCCTGAACTAACATCTATGCCCATCTTCCTCTATTTTATATGTGGGATGCCCGCCACAGCATGGCTTGATAAGCAGTACATAGGTCTACACCCAGGATCCGAACCGGCGAACCCTGGGCCGCCAAAGCAGAATGTGTGAACTTAGCTGCTGCGCCACCAGGCTGGCCCCAAACACACATCCATCCATTTCTTTTGTGTTATTTTTTTTTTCTATATTCCTTTTTTTGGGGGGAAGATTAGCCCTGAGCTGACATCTGCCACCAATCCTCCTCTTTTTTGCTGAGGAAGACAGGCCCAGAGCTAACATCCATGCCCATCTTCCTCTACTTTACATGTCGGACGTCTGCCACAGCATGGCTTGACAGCAGTGCCTAGGTCCACACCCGGGATCCCAACCGGTGAACCCTGGACTGCCGGAGGGGAATGTGTGAACTTATTGCACTACCAGGCTAGCCCCTAGGATCCTTGACTTCCTTGACTCCTGGGTGCTGTACTAGGGGTAGTGCTGGAGGAATGCTGAATAAGGGTACTCCCGCCAAATGCACCCTCTTCTGGGTGGCTTTTCTGCCTTGAACACTGGCCGCTTGGGACTGGACAACCAGGAGGAAAGCCTCTATTCCTTAAGTTGACAGTCACACTGGAGGGGCATCCCTTCCTAGCCGCTGAGGCTCCTCCTAGTGGTGGACGATGGTGTGGTTCTCATCCACACCTGTCCTGCTCCCCATCGCCCAGCACAACAGCCTCCCCGCTCCCCAGAGCCAAGCCCAGCTCAGGGCTGGGCTCAGCCCCTTCCTGCCACTGACTATTTTTTTAGAAGTTTCATTACAGAAAAGATAAAATGGCAATAACATTAAGGAAAGCTTTGAAAAAAAGTATTACCTACAGTCTCTTCAGCCAACCACCTCACAGTATTTTAGCAACAAGAAGGGATAAAGACAAATGAATAGATAAATCCCACCCGCAAAATATGGTGTCATTTCTATCCTTGTCTTTATTCAGACATATTTTATTTTTGTTTAAACATTGGCACCTGAGCTGTTGCCAATCTCTTTTTTTCCTTCTTCTTCTTCTCCCCAAGCCCCCGGTACACAGTTGTATATTCTAGCTGTGGGTCCTTCCAGTCTTGCTAGATGGGAGGCCGCCTCAGTGTGGCCTGAGGAGCGGCGCCATGTCCGCGCCCAGGATCTGAACCAGGGAAAGCCTGGGCCACCAAAGCGGAGCACAGGAACTTGATCACTCCGCCACGGGGCGGCCCCGAGGTGGCCCCGAGGCATATTTTATATGATCACAATCAGGGCAGCAACGTTTTTTCTCCTTTAGGTTATATGAACCTGTTCCATTTTTCTCTACAGGTTTTATTGTTTTCTTTTGAAATGGTTGTGTGCTTTTCTACCAGGGGGCTGAATCATAATTTGAAAACCCCCTTCCCTAATGTTGGACATTTAGGTTGTTTCCACTATTCTATTTACCACCTGCGTGTTATTTGGCATGTGTGTGTATTTATTCTGAGTTTGTAGAACTACATGAGCGTATAGTTACATTTTTAATCGTTGTAACAGCTACTATAGAATTATGCTCACCTGTGGGCCATTCACTGTTGTAACAGCTTGACCTCATTTAATCCTCAGCATAACTGGACGCTGTTTGTCTCAGTTATCTACTGTTGCCTAACAAACCAGTCCCAACTTTAGTGGCTTAGAAAACAACTCTATTATTATTTTTCAAGATCCTGGGGCTCAGCTCGATGGTTCTTCGGCTGTTCTTGTGTAGGGTCTCGTGTGGCTGTGGTCAGGCGGTGTCTGAGGCTGGAACATGAGAGTTTCGTTCACGTGGCTGCTGCCTTGGCAGGACTGACTGCAGGCCTGGCTCAACTGGGATGGCTGGGCCTCTGTCTCCATGTGGCCGCTCCATGGGTTACCTCCAACAGGCTAGCTGGACTTCTCTTGTGGTGGCTCAGGGTTCCACAAAGTGCAAAAGCTACCCAGGCTTCTTAGGCCCATAACTGGCGTGGTGTCACTTCCCTTGCACACTACTGATTAAAGCAAGTCATAAGTCAGTTTCCATATGGGAAGGGAATCAAGTATGTCTCATTGGGGGCCATCTTCGGAGACCAGCTATGGCTCAGTTGTTATGCTCATATTGCATAGAGAGAAGCAGAGGTTCGGAGAGGTAAAGTAACTTGCCCAAATGTGTCTGACTCCAAAGCTCTTACCTGAAACATACTGCCTCCTGGGAATGAGGTTTTGTAGTGGATGGAATTTTGGGAACAAGGAATGTGAGTACCTTTATTATTGGTCTTACTAATTACTGTCAGTATGACTTTCAAAAAGGACTGAATTGATTTCTTAACATGCCTAACAGAGTCTGAGGGTGCCAGGACTCCTCAGTCTCTCCAGATGAACTTCTAGTGCTGCAAATGATTTCTTTCTGGAATCAATCCCATCTTGATAGAGTCGTCTCCCTTTCTTCCCTCACAGGAACGAACTATTTCATAGTAAGAATGGGGCCCGCAGAAGTGCCAAGAAGATCCTCATTGTCATCACAGATGGGCAGAAATACAAAGATCCGTGGGAATACCGCGATGTCATCCCTCAGGCAGAGAGAGCTGGCATCATCCGTTATGCCATCGGGGTGTGTACTATTCCTCACGGCTCCCCCAGACTCAGCCTGCACCTCACCCAAGCAGAAAGGCTGGCAGGTTCCTCCTCCTCAGCTGCCTCTCTACTGCAGGTGGGAGATGCTTTCCAGGAACCCATTGCCAGGCAAGAGCTGAACACCATTGGCTCAGCGCCCTCTCAGGACCACGTGTTCAAGGTGGACAACTTTGCAGCACTCAGCAGCATCCAGAAGCAGCTGCAGGAGAAGATCTTTGCAGTCGAGGGTAAATGGGGAACAAGCTTGGGTCTTGGAATTGAAAGGGTCCCAACCCAATTGTCTTCCACAGTCCTGAGGTCCATCCCTATTCACAGCTCACCCAAAATTGTTCTCCAGAACCCAAGACCTGAGAGGGCGCTGAGCCAATGGTGTTCAGCTCTTGCCTGGCAATGGGTTCCTGGAAAGCACTCACACCTGCAGTAGAGAGGCAGCTGAGGAGGAGGAACCTGCCAGCCTTTCTGCTTGGGTATTCTCCTCCCTCTATTCTGAATCCTTGTGGTCTCTGGGAGCTTAAGCGACCTGTTTCCCCCACAGGAACCCAGTCGAGGACAAGTAGCTCCTTCCAGCATGAGATGTCACAAGAAGGCTTCAGTTCAGTACTTACGACGGTGGGTGGAGCATGCGCTTGGTAAACAGATCTCAGGCGCCAGCCCTGGGTTGGGAGCTAGGACCCAGAAGTAAATAAGCAAGCAGACCCTGTCCTCAAGTTCACTGTCCAGTGTGGGAGAGACATACAGATAGTATATGTAGGTGCTGAGAGCACAGCAGATAACAGTATAGCCAAGGTTCCTGCTCTCAGGGAGCACATATCTAGTGGGAGAGACAACAAACAACAAACAAACAAAAGACTTTCACATTCTGCTCAGTGTTGGGAGGGAGAAAGAGAAGTGATCAGAGGAGGCCTGAATGGTGAGAATGGATCAGCCCTGGAAAAATCTGGGGAGAGATTGCTCCAGGTAGAGGAAAAGGCAAGTGCAAAGGCCCTGAGGCAGAAACAAGATTACTGTGCTGGAGAGCTAGAAGGGCCAGCATAGCTGGAGCAGAGTGAGTGAGGGGCAGTGTGTGAAGAGAGGGCCATAGAGGGGAAAAGGGCCAGACCAAAGAAATGACAACATGGCATGACCTGTCTGAAAGTAGATGTGTATTCAAAATATCCAGAAGGATTTTAGGGGCAACCAAGGGGGATGTAGAAATGAAACAAGGTTTGCCATGAATTGATCACTGAAGCTGGGTCATGGGTACGTATGGGTTCATCATATATTTCCTTCTACTTTTGTATACGTTCTAAATTGTCCATAATCAAAAGTTTAAAAAGGCAATAAACAAAGTATGCGAAGGATGAAGCCCCCATGGCTCCCTGAGGGAGCTGCGGAAGGATCTCACAGGGGCAGTGGCTCTGAGGTTGACTCTTCCAGAGAGGAGTCCAAGAAAAAGAGGAGAGAAGTGTTCAGGCCAAAGGCTTGATATGTTTTGGAACAGAGGGTGACTCCACAGGTTTGCCTGGGAAGGATCCTAGATGCCATCCTCGGGGACCTGGTGTCAGGGAGCCATCTGAGTTTGCCAGCAGGATGGTGCTCACATTTGGCTTTAAGGAAACCTAACCCTGGGGCAGTAGAAGATGGAGCAGAGGAGAGTAAGCTAGGAGGCAGGAGGGGCAGTAGGTGAGAGGCAATGGGCCTGACTGGGACGGTGGCAGTAGGGATGGACTGAGGGAAGTAGGGAGTCAGGGACACCGAGGCTGCTGGTGTGGGCTTGGGAAGGAGGAGGAGGAGAATTCCAAATAATTAGCAGAGTCCGTGGCAGACATTGCTTTGGACTAGGCTGTCTTCTCACTCCGGCCTGCTCAGCCCTGGAATCCTTTCCTCTCAGGATGGGCCAGTTCTGGGGGCTGTGGGAAGCTTTGGCTGGTCTGGAGGTGCCTTCCTATACCCACCAAAGACGAGCCCCACCTTCATCAACGTGTCTCAGAAGAAAGAGGACATGAGAGACTCTTACCTGGGTGAGAAAAGGCTGCGGCTGGGGGGACAGGCGGGAGATGAGCTGCCTGGGAGGGGCAGGAGCCTGGGGGCGGGAGGAGAAGCCTTTGTGCTGAGGCCTGGCCCCCTCAGGTTACTCCACCGAGCTGGCCACTTGGCAGGGGGTGCAGAGCCTGGTCCTGGGGGCCCCCCGCCATCAGCACACCGGGAAGGTTTTCATCTTCACCCAGCAGTCCAGGCAGTGGAGGCCAAAGGCTAATGTCACAGGCACTCAGGTTGGTGTGGAGAAAGCACGAGTAGAATGCGAGGGTGGCAGGGTATCCAGGAGTGGAGAGGGCAGACAGGGAGGAGATGGAGGGTTTGGGGCCCATGGTGGGAGGTGCTGGTGGATGGGCAGAGGCGGGACCTGGCCCAGAAGGGGTTCCTCTGGCAGGGGCGCGCAGGATGACTTCAGGCTCTGCCCTGCAGATCGGCTCCTACTTTGGGGCCTCCCTGTGCTCTGTGGATGTGGACAGAGATGGCAGCTCTGACCTGGTCCTCATCGGGGCTCCCCACTACTATATGCAGACGCAGGGGGGCCAGGTGTCTGTGTGCCCCTTGCCCCGGGGGGTGAGTGGCTGATGAGACCTGGGCTGGGTGGGGCCTGGGTGTGGGGTGGAGGGGTTGCCTGGGTTGGGGCCTCACACTGTTTTTGTGCTGCAGAGCGCCAAGTGGCAGTGTGAGGCTGTTCTCCGTGGGGAGCAGGGCCACCCCTGGGGCCGCTTTGGGGCAGCCCTGACAGTGCTGGGGGATGTGAATGGGGACAAGCTGACGGACGTGGCCATCGGGGCCCCAGGAGAGCAGGAGAATCAGGGTGCTGTCTACCTATTTCATGGAACCTCAGGACTGGGCATCAGCCCCTCCCACAGCCAGGTGAGGCCCCCTGTCTTCAGCCTCTTCTAGTTCCACCTCCTTTCCCATGTCTTGGATTCCCCCGATGCTGCCTCGCACCACTGGCCATAGCAGCGGCCATTCCCCTCCTTCTTTAGTGATTTCCTTCCCTGAATTTCACCAGGCCCAGCCAACCACAAATTCTCTCTCTTCTCTCCTTTGGCTCTAAACAGACTTCAATCTTTTGTGGGGAGCATAATAGTTAAGAAATCACAGGCCCCCCGGTCAAACGCCTGGCCAGCCATGTTAGCTATGTGGCTTCAGGCAAGTGACTGATTTAGCTCTGTGAGCCTTAGTTTCCTTCTCTGAAACATTAAATGATAAAGCAGCTCCATAGGCTTCTTGCAAAGATAACTCAGTGGGAGCACTAAGCACTCCATTCACCAAATATTTATGAATGAATATATAAATGATGAATAAATGAATCTATTTTAATCCTATTGTTATGCTTTTATTTTGTCATTAACCTGCACCCTCATGATGACTTGGACCAGAAAAGCTCCCCTCCCTCGGTCTGGGGCCCGTGAGGTCCTCACTCTGCTTGCTCTCCATTCCTACCGCCGCGTCTCTCCTTTTCCATTTCTTCATTTACATCTGCTTTTGTTGCAGTCTCCTCTCCAAATGTCTCTTCTCAAATCTTTCTGATCACTCCCTTTGACATCCACTTCTCATTTCCCTCTCTGGCCAGCGGATCACAGGCTCCCAGCTCTCCTCCGGGCTCCGGTATTTTGGGCAGTCACTGAGTGGGGGTCAGGACCTCACCCAGGATGGACTGGTGGACTTGGTCGTGGGGGCCCAGGGACACGTGCTGCTGCTCAGGTGACGACTCCCCACATCCCACCCTTGCCTGCTGTGTGTCTGATTCCCCAAGCTGCCCGCTCCCTTGTTCTCCTCCCAGAGGACAGAGTCCTGTCCTCAGCCTCTGCATACACCCTCAGGAGCCTGCCAGTGCTAAACGTGGGAGTGGCCATGAGATTTATGCCCTCGGAGGTGGCAAAGGCTGTGTACCAGTGCTGGGAAGAGGTCCCTACCACCCTGGAAGCTGCAGATGCCACAGTCTGTCTCACTATCCACAAAAGCTCACCGGACCAGCTAGGTAAGTTTCCTCCCAGTGGACCCTGTCTTTTACCCTCCTGGAGGCCCCCAGCCCATCCTCAGGACCGAATAGGCCCAGGAATCCAAATCTCATCTCCACATCCACCCAGCTGCTGGTGTCGGAAGCCTGGGTCCCCTCTGTCCCCCTTTTCCCATACCCAGGCCTATAGGTTCTGACTCCAGGATAGATCTGGAATCTATCCGCTTCTCTCCACCAGCTCCAGCCACTGACTCCCTCTACATGGCTCCTCTTTCCCACCTATACTTTGGGTTGTTCCATCTGTTCTTGTACCCTCTCACCCATTCTCCACGCAGGAACTAGAGTGATTGGCCCTAAAATGCAAATCTAGTCTCCTCACTTCCCTGCTTAACGCCCCTCAATTCCTCCCTTCTTGCATTTATAAAGACCACATCTTTCCCTACAATCCCCCCCTGATTGGGCCCCTCTCTGCACTCCAGCCTCACTTCATCCCGCTCCTCTCTACTCCATACACTTTTTGTACATGGGCCAGCCTCCCTCTCCCTTCTGGTCTTAGCCACTCTTCCCACAGTCTGGGACTTTCTCCTGCTCATGCTCCAGGTTGGAGTTCAGAAGGCCCGTCCAGGAAGGCATCTCTGACCCCTAGGTCTGAGCATCCTGCCCTTGCATCGACCTGACCTTATGCCCCACATGCTTGTCTGCTTTCCTAGGGTGTGGGCTTCATGAGGGCAGGCACCGCATTTCTCTATGTTCTCCTCCACGTGTATCCTCAGCCCCTGGTACAGTTCCTGGCACAGAGAAATTGCTCAGCAAATATTTATTGCATGAATAAATGAAAACAACATTTGAGATTCTCTTTGACTTTCCATCTTCCATTCCACCTTCCACTTCAGGTGATGTCAAAAGCTCTGTCATATACGATCTGGCATTAGACGCAGGCCGTCTGATTTCTCGTGCCATTTTTGATGAGACCAAGAACCGGACTTTGACTCGAAGAAAAACCCTAGGGCTAGGGGATCACTGTGAAACCGTGAAGCTGCTTTTACCAGTGAGAGCTTTGGGTTCTGGGAAAAGGAGAAGGAGGAGGATCCCAGGGCCAGCCTCTCACATCCCTGCTCCCTGCTGAGTGAGATGGGAAGGGTGGGGAGATGGGGGCTAGAGAGAGGAAAGTTGAGACCAGAGAACCTGGCTCCACAGCTTGGATGGGGCACTGTCTGACAGCGGGGAATGGATGCGGTGGAGGAGAAGCCCCAGGGGTAGAAAGTAAGGAAAAGGATAGTGGGTTCTTGAAAGCCCATTCTCTCTCAGGACTGTGTGGAAGATGTGATGAGCCCCATCATCCTGCGCCTCAACTTCTCCCTGATGGGGGAGCCCAATCCTTCACTCCAGAACCTTCGCCCTGTGTTGGCCGTGGGCTCACAGGACCTCTTCACTGCTGCTGTGAGTCTTCCCATGGAGTCCCAGGGTTGTGCCTTCACTGTGTAGAGACACGTGTGCTTAAGAACCTACAGTGGCTCCCACTTGCCCACCGACCACATGATGTCCAAAATGCCACCACCCAGTTACCAAGGCCCTGCCTAGCTTGGACCCCTACACACATCCCAGCTGGTTATCTACTTTATCCCAACATAAACTCTCTGGTTCTCATTCTGCAAATCCTTCCCAACTTTTCTCATTCTTACCTCTGTGCCTTTCTCCATGTTGTCTCTCTTGTTTGGAAAACATTTCCTTCCCTCCACCTCAAAGATCGTCTCTAGTCCCCAAAGCCCCAGTCTTATCTCCCTCTCTTTTGAAAACCACACTCAATATCTGTCACTTCTTCTCTGGCCTCCTATTACGTCATGGTGATACCATCCAAATATCACATGACTGGAATCCTAGCAATCTGCATTTACTTCTGTGGCTTTCTTGGAATTGTAGGTTCCTTGAATGCAAGAACCATGTCTAATTCACCTGTAGTTTCCACCTTTCCTAAACCCCCACCCAACCCAGAACCTGCCCCATTATTCACGCTTAATAATGTTGTTGAGTAGTTGTTCCAGTGTGAGATGGATTTGACTCCTCAACTAAACTTTATGTTCCTTGGAGCCAAGGATCTTGTCTTCTCTTCTTTTATAGTCTAACTGCCCCTCCCCCACTGCCCCACTCCTTGCCAGTGTCTAGCACAGTGCTGGGTTCAGGGGGGTGCTTAGTAATACTCAGTGTTGATGAGTGTCCTAATGAGGGGATTGGAGATGGATTAAGACATGGATGGGAAGAGAATATATACCATTTTGCTGCAGCTCCCCTTTGAGAAGAACTGTGGGCAAGATAATCTCTGTCAAGGGGACCTGAGTGTCAACCTCAGCTTCTCAGGGTGAGCTCTATCTTCTTTCATATCCAGATCCTCAAGCTTTTGGGTGTCCCATCCTTATAGGATGAGAAGTGCTTGTGCTGCCCTTTGGCTCTCCTAACAAAGACATGGTTTTCATTGGAATGTTATCAGCCCAGAGCTCATGAGTTCTCACAGTCCTTCCCCGGCCCTTGATCCAATTCCAACCTATTTCCAATGGAGTCTTTTTCCCATTCTTGTCCTTCCTCCTTCAGCTTGCAGACCCTGGTGGTGGGGAGCTCCTTGGAGCTCAATGTGATAGTGACTCTGTGGAATGAGGGTGAGGATTCCTATGGAACCATGGTCAACTTCTACTACCCAGCAGGGCTGTCCTATCGACGAGTATTAGGAACCCAGGTAAACAGCTCCTTTGGGCTCTAGTTGGTTGGGACCCTTCCCCTGCCCTGGGTTATAGTAGGTTTCTTTGAATTCTTCTATGATGAAATATAAAACACATACACATACAGAGAAAAGTGCATAAAGCACTTTTATGCTTTATGTATAGTTTAATGAATAATATTAAGCAAATGTCTACACAAGTAGCATCCAGGTCAAGAAAAAAACACTGCTAGCACCCTCAGAAGCCCTCTCACTATGTGCCTGTCCTTATCATAACCTCACCGTCTCCCAAAAGGTAATCACCATTCCAACTTTGTGATAATCAATTTCTTGTATTTATTTATAGTTTTAACACCCATGAGAATATCCCTAGAGAATGCTGTTCAGTTTTGCCAATATTTGAGCTTTATATAAATGGAAACATGTTCTAAGTTCTTTAGTGTCTTTCTTCTTTTCTCCAATATTATGTTTGTGAAATTCACCCCTGTCGTTGCTTGTGGCTGTAGAACATTCTCATTGCTATATAGAATCTCTTTGTATGACTATACCACAATTTATTTACCCATTCTACAATTGATGGTCATTTAAGTTGTTTCCTGATTTTGGTCATGACCATTCTTGAGCATGTATCCTGGTGCACCCATGCATAACATGTATGTACCACTTGTGGAATTGCTGGATCATTGGGTATGTGTATCTTCAATTTTAATAAGTAAAGCCAAACCATTTTCATCTACTTACACTTCCATCAGCAGTGTATGAGAGTTCCTGTGGCTTTCCATCTATTCTAACACTTGGCATTGTCAGACTTTTAAATTTTTGTCAATCTGGGGGGTGAGTAATGATATTTCCTTGCAGTTTTAACTTGCATTTCTCTAATGAGGCTGAGCAACTTTTCATATATTTCCTAGTCATTTGGATTTCTTCTTTTAGGAAGTGCCTGTCTCAGTTTTTTTCTCATTCTTCTGTTGAGTTGTCCATCTCTTTCTTACTGAGTTGTAAGAGTTCTTTACATGTTCTGGTTACTAGTCCTTTTCCAGTTATATATGTACGAATAGCTTTCCTGATCCTGTTGCTTGTCTTTTCAGTCTCTTTATAGTGTCTTTTAATAAACACAATGTTTTAATTTGATTGTGGGTGATTTTTGCTAATGTTTTCCTTTGTATTTAGTGTTTTTGTGTGTGGATCTTGTTTAAGAAATACTTCCCTACCACAAGGTTATGAAAATATTCTGCTATATTACCTTCTAAAAGCTTCATAAATTTTGCCTTTTCACATGTAAGTCTTTAATCCAGTTGGAATTTATTTTAATGTATGGAGTGAGGTAGGGATCCAATGTTTTTCCAGGTTTTTTGGTATGGGCCAATTTTCCCAGGACCATTTATTGAAAAATCTGTTTTCTCCTTACTGCTCTGAAGTGTTATATATAAAGCCCACAAATGCATGTGGGTAACTTTTTAAAATTCAGTCTCCTCATTTGGAAGAGACCCCATCAGCGCCCACTGCGCCTGGCATGTGAGGGAGTGCCTACTGGAAGTGAGGGCCTGAGGAGCACCAGCTGTAACATCAACCACCCCATCTTCCAAGAGGGCACTAAGGTCAGTAGTCCCTCCCAAATCCTTGTCACTCTTCTCCTTTGTCCTGACCCATTTCCTTCCCTCACTCCCCTATGACCTTCCTTATCCCCATTCCTTCTTTCTTCTTCCCTCAGGGCACCTTCATTGTCACATTTGATGTCTCCTACAAGGCCAACCTGGGAGACAAGTTGCTTCTGAGGGCCAATGCAAGCAGGTGAGCCCAGGCCAGGTAGGATGTGTCCCTCACCCTCCAGTCACATGCCCCAGCCAGAGACTCCTTTCCTGGATTCCTTTCCAATTAGGTTCCCCTCTCTCTCTCCAGTGAGAATAACAAGCCTACAAGCAGCAAGACTACCTTCCAGCTGGAGCTCCCAGTGAAATACGCTGTTTACACAGTGATCAGCAGGTGCTTAATCCCCAGCCCTCCCCTTGGACCTCTGACCTTCCTCTAAGTACCTCCTCCTGCAGCCCAGCCTGCTCTTTTGTGGATGGGTAGCTAAGCCAGCCCCTCTGATTCCTCACATGGGAATATTTGTGACCAGTCATATATCTATACCATAATACCATATACCATGGTTCTTGCTTCTTCTCTGATGAATTGGCCTGCTGGTGAGATACACCACTTTGCCACCACTTTGTATTCCCTCCTCTCTCTCCAAGATGCAGGCTTCATTTAAAATGAAGTCAATCCTTTCCTTTGTGCTAGACACAAACGTGCTGAAGCAAAGCCACCAGATTGAGATTGAGGCTTTTCTGAGCACTCTGAAGTGGGGAGCTTATGCCCAACAGGATATGGTCTGTCACTACACAGAGGAAAGAAAAGGTCAGGTTTTCACAAAACTCGGAGGAGAGCAGAGGTGTGAAACTGTCAGAAGGTCTCTCAGAGCCCAAGGCCGAGGCAGGCCACAGGAAAGGCAAGTGTAGAGCTGCTGGTCTGGGTTCTGAAGGTGGGTTGAGGGGCAGGGGCAGGCTAGGCTGGAGGCAGAGCAAGGAGCCCCACACACCTGGCTAAACTTTAGAGGTTTAAAGAGTTGGTCAGAAGCTTATAATATTGCCATGGGACAGGGTTTGCGCTGTTGCTGCTGCTGCTGATATACAAATTTTTAGAAGAACTAGTAAGGTGGGGATCAAGCAGTGTCATTCCCCTTCCAAACTCCATGTGTGAATTTCCCCTTCTGTCCTTTGAAAATACTAAAACTTATAATAAGAGCTTATAGTCATATATACTTATGATGTGGCAGCCATTGTCTTAAGTACTTTACATGTATTTACATGCACTTAATCCTTCTTATAACTCTATAATGTAGTTACTGTTATCCCCCTTTTTACCAACAAAGAAATCAAGAGGTTAAATAACTTGTCCTGTCATTCAGCTGGTAAGTGGCAGAACCAGGAATCAAACCCAGGTGGTCTGGCTCCAGAGCTTGTGCCCATGGGCCATATATTGCACACCTCTCCAAGAGCTGGGAAAGCTGAGTGATTTACTCAAATATGAAAAGAGGTTTAGAACAGGAAGATTTTAAGTGAGAAAACTGAAGCAGAGAGAGAAAGGGCTGGGGTGGAGAGCAGAGAGGAAGGCTAGCATACTATGAGAAAAAAATAAGTTTTAACATTTATGGCACTGCTACAAACCTCATCACAACTCTATTATAGGTAGGCACTATTATTAGCATCCCTATTTTACCGAGAAAGAACTGCAGGGCTCCAGAGAGGTCAAGTAGTTTGCCTTAACTTACTCATATAGGAAGTGGTGGAACTGAGATGTGAACCCAGGCAGTCCGGCCTTTTGTTCTTAATCATCAAGCTGACAGTCACATCTGTGGGGAAACTGGGGGACCCACAGTGTTTCTCTGTGGCTGGCCGGGCTTCTGTATGCTAGTTGCTGGTGAAACCTGCAGGTCCCTCTGCTTGTTTGCCTGATTCCACTGAGACGTTAGATGTTAAACTCTGGGAAGGCAGAGATTATGGCTCATTAACTGTTGAATCTCCGGACCAAGCACACAGCCTGGCACATGGTAAATCTTTGTTGAAGGAGGCCATGGAGAGATGGATGGATAAATGGATAGGCGGATGGATGAATAGGTGGAAAGTCACCTGCAGCCTGGAATATTTATCTCCACTCCACTCCATGGGCTTATGTTCATACACTACATTCCCTCACATTTACTTAACTGCCCCAGGATACCCACATCTCCTTTCCTCATTCCCATCATGGAGGGGCTTGCACTCCACTTTTTCTTGATTGACCTAGCCATCATTCCCTGGAGTCCCCTTAGACTTATTTGTTCTGGCAACAGCCTCTGCAAGCATTACCTGAGGCCAACCACACCTACTAGAGAAAGCAATGTGAACACCTTTTTCCCATGGGAAATGTTTAAATGTTATGAGAAGTGATGTTTAAGGTGGAACTTTAAGAGAAAATTTCCAGTAGGGGAGTGGGTAAGAACATTCCAATCAGAAGAAAAAGCTTGAGCAAAGTCGTGGGGCTATGAAAGAACTGAGGTATCAAGGAACGAGCTACCAGTTCTGGGTGACCAGGGCAAAGGACATGGGGGGAGAGGAGCTGAAGCTGAGGCTGCAGAAGCACATGGGGACCATTACTATTTCCCTGAGTCATCTATCTGCTGGGCCCACCAGAACCTCGGCAGCAGACTGGGGCACAACCGAGGATGATCCCAGGGCTGTTTTTCCCCAACAAGCCTTCTCTCCCCAGGCAGGAAGAATCCACCAAGTACTTCAACTTTTCAACTTCCCATGAGAAGAGCAGGAAAGAAGCTGAGCATCGATATCGTGTAAGGCCAGGGAATCTCCATGTCTGCCCTCCCATGGTGCTGTTAACACTGGAAGCTGTAGGGAAAGATGGAGAGCAACCGAGGGCTGGTGCCGGGAAAGAAGTGGGATTTGGGATGCTGCAGGGACCACAGTAATGCACTCTGTTTCAATTTTTCTGCAGGTAAATAACCTGAGTCAGCGAGATCTGGCCATCAGCATTAATTTTTGGGTTCCCATCCTGCTGAACGGGGTGGCTGTGTGGGATGTGGCTGTGGTGGCCCCTTCGCAGGTACCTGCCTTTCCTCACTTTCCAGGGTTTGATCCCACAGTGCCTCACAGGCTCTTACCAGTGAAATTTTGATCATTCTGTGGCTATTTCTCTCTCTCATTAGAGTCTACCCTGTGTGTCAGAGAGGGAACCTCCCCAGCATTCTGACTTCCAGACCCAAATTCCAAGGAGTCTCATGCTGGTGAGAAAGGCCCTGGACTCCCACTGCAGGGCCAGCTATGCACTGGGGGACAGGGAAAAGAATTGCTAGGTTTCAGAGCTACATATATGGCCTGTAGTTGTTCATCTATTCCTCACCCAAAATCTGACAGACTTCATTTTCCCTTGTGGTTCCTGCCTAAGTTAAGGCCCTCCTCAACTTCATTCTTCTCCGTCCCTAGGACTGCTCCATTGCTGACTGCCTGAGGTTCCGCTGTGACATCCCCTCCTTCGGCATCCGGGAGGAACTTGACTTCATCCTGAAGGGCGACCTTAGCTTTGGTTGGGTCAGCCAGGTGTGTAGGCCCAACAGCAGAGTGCCTTCCCTGGATTCAGGTGGCGCCTGATATCTCTGTGCTCATGCGCAAGCCAGGACATTTCTAACTCTGAGCCTTCCCAGAGCTAGTTCCCCAGCTCCCTCCCTCTCTTTTGCAGACATTGCAGAAGAAAGTATTGGTCGTGAGTGTGGCCGAAATCACGTTCAACACATCTGTGTATTTGCAGCTTCCAGGACAGGAGGCATTTTTGAGAGCCCAGGTAGTGGCTGTGTGGTAGGCAGTGGTCAGGCTGGTAAGAGGGCTCCTGATGCTAAATCTGTGATGCTGGGTGGGAGGTTCACAAGCCTGGAGGAAGGAAGGATGAAGGTCCCTCGGCAGGAAAGCTGTCCCTAAGCCCATGAGTGCTTCTGTATCTCACCCAGGGCTTGATGAAGGGGAGGATAGGGAGTTAAAGGTTGGGGAAACTGGGAAAAATCTGGGACAGCAAGAGGCCGAACACTTTCTGATCCCCAAATCAGATGGAGATGGTACTAGAAGAGTATGAGGTCTACAATCCTATCCCCCTCATTGTGGGCAGCTCTGTGGGAGGATTGCTGCTGTTGGCTCTCATCACAGCTACACTATACAAGGTGAGTGTTTTTATCCCACTCGTGACACCACCAGCATCTGACCCAAGCCCTCCCACAGACAGGATGGTACAGCAGGAAGAACTCACTCAGTGGAGTCAGGCAGGACTGGGTGCACATTTTGGCTCTGTCTTACTCACTGTTTAATGTCAGGCAAGTTGCTCAACCTCTCTGAAACTATTTCCTAATTTTTGAAATGATAATGATGCCTCCATTACCGAGTGGCCGAAGTGAGACAGAAATGAGGCGAGGGTACGTACACAGCCCTTCCTGACTACAGAATCTATGCTTTTCTGCTGTAGATTATGTGTATAACTACTGTGCTTGGCACACAGTAGATACTCAGTATGATAGCTGTTGTTTACCTAAGTGTTCTGGCACACAAATACAAGTCAGCTTAGGTCCCTTCTTCTCTCTCAGCTTCTTCCTACTCCCAACTTTGTTTCCTGACCTCTTACCCAGCTTTTCTGATTTACTTCCCCTCATAGCTTGGCTTCTTCAAACGTCAGTACAAAGAAATGCTGGATAACAAGCCTGAAGACACTGCCACATTCAGTGGGGAGGATTCCAACTCAGATGCCCCAAATCCACCTTTGTACTAATAATCCACTTTCCTGTTTATCTTTGCTGCCATGGGCTGTCTTGCCTTAGACCACAAATCTACTACTGTGGGAATAACTCCTGCATAGACCTGGACTGGCCTGAGCAACTTACCAGGTGCTAAGCCACCTTCTCAAGGCATCGAAAGATTTTTGTATTTTTACATATCTGCCAAACTTCTTCAGTGATGACCCACTTTAACAGAAACAGGCATGATGCCAGCATGAATTTTCATATGTATAAGAATCATCACATTAAATGAAAATGATGTTTACACACATTTTCCTTGTATGAAAGAGCTCTAATTCAGGGACTGGCGTGCTGTTCTAAGAAGAGTTGGGGGAACCTACTTGTGGTATAGAAAGCATTCTCTCACTTTCTCAGGTGACTGGGGCCTGTGATCATCTTTTCTTAATGGTTCTGTGAGTAGTGTCAAGGGAGGCGGCCAAAGGAATCTGTGTGTGTATCTTGGTCGTGATTTTCAGCACAGGCTTCAGGCTCCTTGGTAATGGCAAGTGAGCAGACTGTCCTAGGAGGTGAATGAAATGTTCAGAGCTTGTTTGAACCAATGTCCCCCTTGAATGGAGTCCCCAGAAGCTAGGAGAGCTGGGCTTCCAGAAAGGCGCATCTGATTTCCCAAATTAATACAGAAGATCCATTAAAGGTGGTCACAGAGAATGCCTGCAATATTCCAAATCAAGGATTAGATCATGAAGGCTCACACATAGGGCTGTAGATCCTACGTTTGAAATCAGGGTTGTCTCCAGATAGCTGGAATTCCCACATGCTGTCAGTGTGTGTCAGGCAAAAAGTGGTACTTGAGGGCCTGCAGCTCTGGGTTCCCATGGGGCCTCTCATGAGCTGCCTGAATTTAAGTCATTTAATCTCTGAGAATCTCAAATTCCTCCTCTGGAGAACGGGAACCAAAATTATGTCTTGTTCCCAGAGTTACTGTGTCTGTGAAAGCCGTTTGTTTACAGCCCAGAGCCCTAATTATTAATAGGTGAGAGAGAAGCAGCAACAATCTCCTACCTGTTCATCAAGGATATTCCCCCTAGCACCTTCCAAACCAAGGCCTTGGGAGGAGCACATGGAGCGCCAACTGCACTTGTGTGGAAGCGCCCAGTGGGAGAGCCACCGACGCCGCCGGCCCCCCGCCCCCGACGTCACCCTGTGGTCCCCACGGAACCTGCGGACACTCACAGCTTCTACACCTTTATTGCACCTGGGGGCGGCCGCCCGGGCCTCAGGGCTGTTCGTAGCCCGTGGGCAGAGGGTTGACGCGGGGATTGTGGAAAAGGGTGTGGTTACCGTCTCCCCAGGAGTAGGGCTGTGGAGAGAGGAAGGGAGAGCGAGTCGTCAGCGCTGTCCGGGCCTTGGGGTCCCCCTGCACCCCCTTGCCCGCCCGCTCGCTCCCACTCCGGTGCTGAGGCCTCGTACCTTGGTGCGGATACGGAGGTGGTGGTAGGCGATGAACTCGGGGCGCTCGCGGTGGCCCGCGTGGAGCCAGGAGTTGAGGGTGCAGAGGGCCACGCTGGGGAGGGCCAGCACGAAGGTCAGGAGGCGCCAGGTGCTGGCTGCAGCGGGAGAGGCAGGGGTGAGAGAAGCGGCGAGGGCCTTGGAAGGACTGGGGAGGAATTGGGGGTGGGGCGGGGGGGAGGGGGAGGTTGACTGGTTGGGGGTGTCGCCAGGACCCTGGAAGGGCCCAGAGTGGGATGGGGGGGACGGGTGGGCAAGGTCAGGAAGCGACAGGGTAAGGCCCCAGCCCTACTCACCTCCTGCCCCTCCATGGTCTCCCTTGGCTGCACTGGCCAAGCCCCGACTCAAGGACCTCAGAGGCAGAGCCATTCCGCGAGAGAAGCCGGGAACCACAGACTGTCCTTTGACTCTCCTTCACTGAGGCCTACATTCCCCTCCCCTGTTTTTGGGCCAATCACCTGTTGAGTCTGTAATATGGGTGGCTATTTTTAGGGGTTTTCTATATTTAAAATGGGGCCTGACTGGCATGAAGTCCTTCTCTCCAGACAGCTGCTATACTGTGCCTCTTATTTTGGTAAGCGGACATTTAAAATACAATATATGCCTTTCTTTTTATTGTTGCAGGGAACTGTTCTTTTCAATACTGTCTTCCCAGTGGCTGGCACACAGTAGGCCTTTAATAAATATTTGTAGACTGAATTGTGTCCTTTCGAATCTAAGTTTTTTCATCTGTAAAATGTATAATAATGTGTACCTTAAATCATGTTTATGAAGTTTGAGTAAAGTAACATAGAAATATGCCAGCTTAGAGTCTGGCACCTAACAGTAGCTCGGTATATGTATTAGCCACAGTTCTTTGCAAAGAACAGAACTCACTCTAACTAGTTTTAAAAAGATAAGCAAGAGCCAGTCCTGATGGCCTAGAGGTTCAAGTTTGGTGCTCGCTGCTTTGGTGGCCTGGGTTCGTTACCTGGTAACGGAACCATGTCACCTATCTGTCAGTTGCCATGCTGTGGTGGCAGCTCACATAGAACTAAGACGACTTACAACTAGGACATACAACCACGCACTGGGGCTTTGGAGAAGAGGAAAAAAAAAAAGAGGAAGATTGACAACAGATGTTAGCTCAGGGTGAATCTTTCCCTGCAAAACAACAACAGCAAAACAAAACACAAAGATAAGCAACTGAGAATCTTAGGTAGCTCACAGTATCCCTGGTGTGGCCAGAGCAGCCTGTGATCTACACAGGCAGAAACACACCAGTCTGTGGGCCAGCTGCAGTGAGACACCACCACGGTTCCACTGCTGGACAGTGGATGCCAAAAACTTCATCACTGTTGCCCTGGAAAGCCAGATTCTTCCACCCTCACCCCCTCCTTGAAAATGGATTCTTCATGAAGCTTGCATCCTTGAGTTGCTCTTTTCTGAATCAGAGAATCACGTGGGCACGAACTGGCAACACCTACGTCATTGCCTGGGTCCTGGCTTTGAGAAAGGCTGAGAAATTGAGTTCCAGCTTCTGCCTTAGGGAAGCAGGAATTGCATCTTGGAGAAAATCCCCAAATATAGGAAGAGTATTCAAAAGATGCTGGACAGCCACAAACCTGACAAATGGAATAAAGAGTGGTGTTTTTACCTGGAAAGGTTCTAGGCTCCCCTCTCTCCACGCAGAGTTTGTTGGTCATTGCCAAACAGTTCCCTGGGGATTCCCATCCCTTTGTCTCAGCTTGGAAGTTCCCACTAAGAGCTTTTCTTGCTGGTACTTGGTGAGTGCCCTGAGGGTTGCTCCCATCTCTGCTGCTGTCACCCTCATGTGGTACGCAGAGCCCTCTGTTGCGGCAGTCTTTTCTAGGCTGATCACTGTGTAGAGGCAGTGCAGAGCCAGCTCCTGCAGTCTTTCTACCCACCTTGTTTCACAAGTTCTCACTCATACAATTAATTAATTGGGCTACTGCCAAAGCTCCCAGTTTCTAGAGGTTTAGGTTTTTCTTTGCTTTAGGCAGAAAGAAGAACAACCTTACCAGTTGTTAAGTAAACCCCAGTGAGTAGCATCCTAGCCCGTTTTCAGACACTCCTCAGCTGTTGGTGGTGAAGGGTATGACTCCGAGTCAGTTTCTCCTGTGCCTCTTTCCTGGGCTGTTACATACCATGATCATATTTTCCAAAGCAAAGATCAATTCCACATGTGATCTACTAAATATTAATTTTATTTATGGATGCTCTAGGACAGAATATTTGAAATTGGCATTGTCCCAGAAAGACAACTGAATGATGATACAGGACATGGGTTAGCTACGGTGAACAGTAAAGGGAGTTGGAGATAAGACAGAATCAGAGTAGAGGCCACCAGTGGGCTAATGACAGTAGGATGATACGGTCTAAAGAGGGGCTAGAATCTCGTTATAGTGGACATCTATTGTTTTGTGTCATCTGTCCAACACACCCATGCCTTCTTCTTCTGATAATAACACCCCAGCTTTTCTTTGTGAAATCACCTCCACCACCTGTCATTTTCAGTTCAGGTGGGGTTGACTCTCTCCTCCAGCTCCAAGAGGGGCCACATGACCCAGGCCTAACCAATCAGAGCATTCCGTTCTCCTGGCCATAGTGATTGGTTTGGGAGGGGCACAGGTCCATGAGTCTCAATTTTGGGACTTCTTTCTTGGACTATGGAGACACAGTAGTACTTCAGCTAGACTTGGAGACTCAGATTGAAGCCAATATTGAAATCATTTTTCAGAGCAGACCTGAAAGATGGGGAGAGATCTAGCCTTGTTAATATTATTTGAACCCCTGGATCAAGATGTGCCAGAGTTGAGAAAGATCTGTATCCTTAGGCTTTTCAGTTACATGAAATAACAAAAAGGCAGCTTGAGTTGGGATTTTAAGTCTTCATTAATTGCTAAACATTTTCTTTGAAGCTATGGACCTCTAGCTTCAAAGATCTCTAAACTTTCACCAGCAAAATTTCAATTTCTGTTCCCCTGTACTATGATCCATGTTTTATTGAAAGTTTTTTGCCTTCTTTTGATATGATAGATAGAAATGTCTTTAATAAACATTCTGGAGTATGTATGGTTTTAATGAGTGCAACTGAATGGCCTCTTGAGGTGAAGGCATCTAGTGTTTGTTAAAATGTAGTCAAATAAATTACATATTGAGATATAGTCCAACTTGCTAAAAGTTTCATGGTTGAGTCTTTGTACTTTTATTTTCTTCTTCCATTTCCTAATAGTGTAGTGTTATGTATCAAAATAAATCTACATACAGGGCCAGCCCAGTAGTATAGTGGTTAGGTTCGCATGCTCTGCTTTGGTGGCCCGGGGTTCATGGGTTTGGATCCCGGGCATGGACCTACACACCACTCATCAAGCCACACTGTGGTGGCGTCCCATACACAAAATAGAGGAAGATTGGCACAGGGCCAATCTTCCTCAGTAATCAATCAATCTATCTATCTATCTATCTATAGGCTGCAATCTGATTTCTCTGAAATATGTATCTAATGCTGGGACACAAGATTTTAGCTGAGCCAGGTGCACTGGTGCTCAGTTGGCCTCATGACTCGTGTAACTCAAGCCCAGACAGCGGTTATACCTTGGGCAAGAATCTGAAGTTTCTGCTCCCATTATGAGACCTTCATCTCACATCCTACGTGCTGTGTTCACTATGCTAACTGATATATAAAGAGGCCCCCAAATGGTGACTTATTAATCTTAGATATTTTCTAAACCAGTATTTTGCCACCACAAATGCTGATTACTGAAAATACATTTGAAGGCTTTTCTGTACTATCACTGATGCTGCTGAAAATTGGATGAGACCAACCTGACAATGTGTGGTAATCTCATTACTACAAATGTATGGATGAAATGTACTGGACCCAAGTAAACAGCACTGTTTTCACTTGCTTTTCTCTGTTATCACTATAGAAATAACCACAGAACTGTTGAACAGGAGGTGAATCAATGATCAAGTGTGGTCACTTTGGTTAACTTTCCAAGTGTGTCCACGCTGTATCTCAGGAAGACAAGGATCAAAGAAACCTGAGTCTTAGCATAAAAACCTTGAGCAATTGGAAGTGGTTCCTTGATTCAATTAATATTTACTGAGCACTTGCTGAGTCAGGCAGTGTATCAGAGTCTCTGCTCTCATGGAGCTCAGTCTACTGGGGGAGACAGATGTGTGATCAGACATTTCCGATGGTTAACTATGCCACTTCAGCAGTTACCACACCAAGTGTGTGATTGAGAGTTTGGGAAAGCTTTCAGTGGAGCTGTGGCTCACGTGATCAGTAGGATAAGTTTAGGCAACAGAGAAGGGGGAAGCATATTCTGGGCAGTTGAGGGAGATAAAACAAGTGTAAAGACCCAGAGGTGTGAAGGGCCATGGCCAGTAAAGCTGCAGAGGTTGGGCAAGCCAAACTGAGAAGCCATGGATGCTGTGCAGAAGCATTTGAACTCTATTCTGCAGGCCATTTTGGGGTGGAGGTGGGGGGTGGGGGTGGGGAAGGCACCAATGCTTTTAAGCAGGGGAGTGACTTCAGATTTAGTGTTGGAGTTTGAGGTTTAAGAGAGAAGTTTAAGACATGAACAGACATTTCTCCAAAGAAGGTATACAGGTGGCCAATAGACACATGAAAAGATGCTCACCATCACTAATCATCAGGGAAATGCAAATCAAAACTACACTAAGATATCACCTTACACCTGTTAGAATGGCAAAAATAACCAAAACAAAAAGTGACAAATGTTGGAGAGGATGTGGAGAAAAAGGAACCCTCGTACACTGTTGGTGGGAATGCAAACTGATGCAGCCACTATGGAAAACAGTATAGAGATTTCTCAAAAAATTAAAAATAGAAATATCTTATGACCCAGCCATCCCACTACTGGGTATCTACCCAGAGAACTTGAAATCAGCAATTCCAAAAGTCCCATGCACCCTTATGTTCATTGCAGCATTATTTACAATAGCCAAGATGTGGAAGCAACCTAAGTGCCCATCAATTGATGATTGGATAAAGAAGATATGGTATATATATACAATGGAATACTACTCAGCCATAAAAAAGACAAAATCGTCCCATTCACAACAACATGGATGGACCTTGAAGGTCTTATGTTAAGTGAAATAAGCCAGACAGAGAAAGATGAACTCTGTATGACTCCACTCATAGGTGGAAGTTAAACATAGAGACAAAGAGAATTGATTGGTGTTACCAGGGAAAGGGGGGTTTGGGGGAGGGCACAAAGGGTGAAGTGATGTACCTACAACATGACTAACAATAATGTACAACTGAAATTTCACAGGGTTGTAAACTATCATAATCTTAATAAAAAGTTAAAAAAAAAAAGAGAGAAGTTTAACCAGTGGATTCTATGGATGATGAGCCAGAATGCAGAGACTGGAAGCAGGGGAAGCTGATTAGGAGTCTTTTGTAATAATCCAGGCAAATGATGACAAGGATTTGCGCTTCAGGCAGAAGCACTGGCAACAGAGAAGAGAGAGTGGACTTGAGAAAACTTTCTGAAGCAGAAGAACTAGGATGCGGTGCCTGATGGGATCCGAGCTGGAGGTGCAGTGCAATGAGAGAAAGAGGAATCAAGGACTCGGGGAGCAAGCTTGGAAACTGGATATTAAGGACTTCTTTGCAGTTTGAATTCTCATAGAGGAACTCGGCATTTTTTCTTCACTCTAATAGCACATTGTTGGGAAAACCAACAAATAATTTTTAAAATAACATTTTAAAAAGCATAAGAGAAATAATTTATTAATCACTGATATTAAGACATCACTTAATATTATCCTTGGCCAAACTGAGGGCATGCCCGTACTTCAGTACTTTTGCATTTCACCTACCACCTCCCGAAATCCTTCTGCAAACTGTGAGGTTTGAGGGAAAGGAGAGAGGAGAAGGATTCAGGAAAAAGAAAATAAAACCAAACCCAAACATTCAGCACTTCTGAGGAAGACTGATAGTAGAGAAAGGCCTTCACAGATAGTACTGGGAGAAGGAAGGAAATGTGTCGCTGATCCCCAAGTCCACCTGCAAGGCTACCAAAGAAAGGGCTCACCTAGGGCCGCACCGCATGAGTTCTTTGGTGTCTGGCAAGGTTAGATCTCCGGCTGAAAACTTTCCCACATGGAAGACACTGGCAGGGCTTCTCTCCAGTGTGGGTTTGATGGTGGCAAAGGAGTGTGGTGCCCTCTCCAAAGCCAAGGCCACACTGGTAGCATCGGTAGGGCTGGTCTATATTATGAGTCCTCTTGTGCTGTTTCAGAGCAGCCTGTTGCCAAACTGTTCCCCACAAGTCCCACACCTGTATAGCTTCTGGGCCCGATCACTCCCAGCCTCGTGAGCTGCCAGCTGGGCAGTCTGCCAGTGCCTGGTCAACTTCCAGGCTTCACAGGAGCACTCCTGGCACTCAGAGAAGCCAAATTCCGTTCCCCTGAGTGCATCCGCTGGTGGTTGACCAGGTGGACAGGGTAATTGAAGCCAGAGCCGCACTCTACACACAGGTGTGGCTTTTCTGCTAAGTGGCTCTTTCTATGCCGGATCAGGGAGGAGCTCTGGGTGAAGCGCTTCCCACACTTGGAGCAGATGTAAAGCTTCTCACCTGTACGGGTGAGCTGGTGTCGAAGGAACTTGCCGATGGCTGGGAAATTCTTTCCACACTCAGAACAGGTAAACTTGGCAGCCATGACTGTTTCTGGTTCACCATGGAGGGTGAACTTGGAATCTGGAATCTGCAAGAATGCACTGGGGACAGACATAGGGCTTCAGGCCAGTATGCACTCCTTGGTGAGGCAGCAGCAGAGAACTGACTGTAAGGCCCTTGCCACATCCCCCACGGATATATGGCTTCTGCCCAGAGTGGATTCGCTAGTGCGTAATGAGGTTGGAGCTTCCACAGAAGGTCTTTCTATACTGGGGACAGTGATAGGGTCTCTCACCAGTGTGGACCCTTCTGTGCTGGATGAGGGATGCACTCTGAGCAAAACCTTTCCCACAGGCCCCACACTTGTAGGGCTCATCTCCCTGGTGAGTCTGCTGATGCTGGAGGAGGTTGGAACTTTGGCTGGAACGTTTTCCACAGTCAGGACAGGGGGAAGGCTTCTCACCTGCATGACTTCGAAGATGATGGGTCAGAGAGTAACTATGCCGGAAGCTCTTGCCACCGTGGGTGCAGCTGTAGGGTCTTGTACCAGGCACAGGTTTCCCATGACCAGTGAGTTCACAGTGTGGGAGTGGTACCCAGCCTCCAATCTTCAAGGAGTTATCTTGAGATTTCTCTAATTTAAGATTCTTGGCAACGTCATCTGAAGTTTCTTGAGGTTGAGTCTAGAAATAGATGACACTGTTCTTGGGCATATCCCTTGATGTTCTCTGTTACTGGGCCCTTCCTCTTGAATAAACTTGTCCTCATTCTTGTTCCCAATTCCTGTGGAAGAAATTGGAGATTTCAGATTCCTGCACCATAATTCCCTCCAGAGAGGGAGAATAAACCACAGAAGATAGTTTTCTATAAATAGTTTTCTATTTATAGATAGATACCGATAGTTTTCTGTAAAGAAGATTTTGCTTTCAGAATCAAATAGTCAGTGTGTCTTGATAGTAAGATTTAATTTAAAACATCACTTGGGGTTACAAGATTTTTAGTTGTCTTGGACTTTTGTCATCTTCATCCTGAATGAAAGTATAGCAAGGAAGGATCATTCATATTAGCCTGGAACATCTGAGCACAAACCATCAAGAAAGAATCAACTTCAACAGCAGAAGAAAAGACATTAGTGTTTTATTGGCTAAGGTGATTAACAGAAGGGAGCCACTCAGGCCAAGAAGATAATTAAACAATTTGTCACAGACAAGATTGGAAAGTCTAATTTTTAAAAAGAGACTATAGGTAAACTTGTAATTTTAAATCTCAAAAGTCAAATTAACCAAGATGAGAGTTTGCAATAAGACTAGTAAATATCCCAGTGGCTCATATAGAAGTATGCTAATTCTGTTTTTAGGCCTATCGAGGCTATTAGTCTAGGTTTCCCATTACTTGGAAATGAGGACTGGGGGACACTGCTTCTGGCCTCTCTGAATCCCAAGACTTGATCCCTGGCCCTCGGTTCACTCTCTGGGCCCCCCTGCTTGTGCTTCACTTCACAGCTCTACTGATATCTGCCCCTGACCTCTTACCTGAGCTCCAAGCCTGCAACTCATGCTGCTCCCTGGATACTTCCCCCTTAATGCTCTGCCATCACTTCAGATTTAATATCCCTCTGCCAAATAATTGCTGACTCCCAATTTCACTCTGTCAGTGGCATTAGTTTTCACTCTCTTGGACATCTAAGCTTGAAATGGTGAAAATTCTTTTGACTCATCTCTCTCCTTCCTTCCCCAGGAGTGAGGTACTATTTAAAAGTGATGTGCTATCATCAGTCACCAGGGAAATGCAAATTAAAAGCCATGATGAGTACCACTACACACCCACTAGAATGGCTAAAATTAAATAGACTGACAATACCAAGTGTTGCCAAGGATGTGGAGCAACTGATATGCCCATACATTGCTGGTGAAACGTAAAATGATCCAGCCACTTTGGAAAACAGTTTGATAGTTTGTTCACAATAAATTAAACAGCCCTTACCATATGACCCAGCAATTCTACTCTTAGGTATTTGCCCAAGAAAAATGAAAACATGTCCACACAAAGACGTTTTTACAAATCTGCATTGTAGCTTTATTCATAATAGGCAAAAGCTGAAAACAATCCAACGTCCATCAACTGGTGAAGGGATAAACAAATTGTGGGATATCTGTATAATGGAATACTACTCAGCAACAAAAAGGAACAATTATTGTTACATGCAACAAATAGATGAATCTCAAAGTTATGCTAGACCAGAGAAGCCAGATACAAAAGAGTGCATACTGTATTCCATTTATATGAAATTTGACAATAGGCAAAACTAATTTATAGAGGGGGCCAGCCCTGTGGCTGAGGTTGAGTTTGCACAATCTGCTTTGGTGGCCCAGGGTTTTGCCAGCTGGGATCCTGGGCATGGACATGGCATCACTCATCAGGCCATACTGAGGTGGCGTCCCACATAGCACAACCAGAAGGACCTACAACTAGAATATACAACTATCTACTGGGGACTTTTGGGGGGAAGAAGAAGAAGGAAAAAGACTGGTGACAGATGTTAGCTCAGGTGCCAATCTTCAAAAAAACCCCTAATTTATAGGGGGAGAAAGCAGATCTATGGGGCTGGGTGGGGGAGGGAGTGGCTAACTGCTAAAGGGCATGAAAACTTTGAGGGGTAATGGAAATGTCATATATCTTGATTGTGATGGTGGTTACACTAGTATATGCATTTATCAAAAATCATCAGACAGTACACTTAAAATGGGTGCATTTTATTACATGTCACTTCAATAAAGCTGTCAGCACAGATATGCCAAGCTTTTTCTAAGATGTGGAGGGTAGACAGGAGTATCGATGCTGATTGCCCAATTATTTTTAAAAGATTTTATTAAAGTATAAGTAAAACAATAACAGTTTAAATAGCTAGTACTTATAGAGTACTTACTATGTGCCAGGTACTGTTCTAAGAGTTTCCATATATTGACTAAACCTCACAACAACTCACTAAGATAGAGACTATTTTCCCATTTTACAGATGAAGAAATGGAGGCAATGAAAGGTCCTAACCTTGCCAAAGGTCATCCATATGGTAAGTGGCAGAACCAGGACTCAAACAATCTGGCTTGAGAGCTGCCTCCTAATTTCTATGTTACCATGCCTCTCATTAAGACAATTTTGAAAAAGAAACCCCCTTTCCTCCATAATTCCACCTGCTCTAAGAAAATATTTTCACGTTTGCATGTTTCTTCAGGGTTTGCCAACATACCTACATATTTTAACTACTCTATAATCACAGTTTAGATACTGAGCAAGAGGCAACTACTCCAAGCAAAGCTGAATCTAAATTTGCTTTCTAAAAAGATGTGCACTCTTATTTTACTCATGTACATTTGCTGGTTCATTCATATTCTTTCATAATGATATTTTAATGGTTACATACAATTCTTTTGCTTCAAATACCAGATTTTATTCATTTTCTTTATTATTGGAATATATCGTTATTATAGAGAGAGCTCTAATGAGCATCTTCATGCCATGCACAGAGCTTAGTCTCTCCCTGTTGAATCTCTTGTGTAGGTATCATCCCCAGGAGCACACCTGCTGCTCCACAGAAGCAAGCCTCTGGTCTCCACAAAGCAGAAGCTCTTCTTATATTAGGAATGGCTGCCGTTTAATTTGCTAGTGCCTGGGATGGGTCAGACACAACGACCCCGGCCCATTCACGCTCTTGAGGGCCACAGGAAGACCACAGCAGTCCTGGCAACTCTCCTCTGGGAGTCAGCTGGGACATGTTAGTGCAATTAGCCTGTGACAATTAAAAGTGCCACAGGCTGTCAAAAACTTTTATCTATTTAGCCACCATAATCCATCATTTTTTCTGTGACTATCACAGCTGTCCCCTCCTACATTTTCTGTCACTAATCTAGTCCAGGCTTTCCTTACCTCTTCCTGCTATTATTGTGTTTCCTATTGGTCTTTTTGGTTGTTTTGCCTTTCTTCCAATTATCTGACAAGTCTGTCAGATCTATTTCTTATTGTAGGGCAGGGCTCCCCGATTATTTTCACACTATGGGACACAGAGAAAACGCTAAAAACAATCTGTGCAGCACACTGGGATAAAAACTTGAGGCTGCTCCCAGCTGAAGGTGCCTGGCCCAGTGTTTCTGGTCATCCCAGGCCCCATCCTGTCTGCCCTATGGGTTAAAGCAATGGGTCTCGACCTAGGCTGCACATTAGAATTATTTTCTAAAAATTCGTTTGCCCAGGCTGCACCCAGGAGTGATAATAGTAACATACACCCAAGACTGAGAACCTTTGAACTAATGGGATAGCTCAGTTTATCCTCAGTAACCACAGCTTATCCTTCTTTCACTACAGTGCCTTCCTTCTGAGAAATGGGTCCAGGATACTAAGAAACTAAGGTCAAGGCCCTGAAGTGAACTGAGGAGGGTGCAGCACTCTGTAGCTGGACTCAATATTACATGATCAAAATCTATCACCAAATCATCTAAGCCTAAATGAGTGTCTCTGGGCTGGAGATATACACACTTTTAGTCTCAGTGGTTTAGTGCAGAGTTCTGAGAAAGCCGGACCCGAGGGAGGCAGGTGTTTATGCCACTGTGTATGTGGGGCCGTGTTAAACGCAGAATCCAGGGGAAGGCCTTGGGAATAGCAGCAGGAGGCCTAGATTCTTAGAGGAGGAGCTGCAGTGCAGTAAGCGCTGCTTGAGGAATAGTTGTCAGATGAGCTAGCTAACCCAATAACTGGACTCCAGGATGAGAATGTGATATCAAACCTGGAGTGAGTTCACTCACCCATTGCGCAGCAAACCAATCTCTGACACCAGGTGTAGTGGGAGAAAACAGGAATTTTATTATTGCACAGCGCTGAACAGGGAGAAAGGGCAGCTAATGCTGAAATCCCAAACTCCCTGAAAACCTAAAAGGAAGGGTTTTTATTTGGGGTTTTAGGCAAGGGAGGGGGAGCATACCGCCTTGCTGGTCGCAGCTTTCCCACCAGCCCATAGCAAGGAGGAGATAACAAATCCAGGTGGTTGTCCTTGGCCATTTGTCTCCGTGGTGGGTAGTGGATTCTGGAGGCAGGAAGCCAGGGAGTAAGCAGGGAAGGAGTGCTTTGGTTTTAATCACATATATGTAGGGAAACTGATATCAGGGCCAGTATCAAACGGAGGGTGGAAAGCTGTAAAGGGCAGTGGAAATGCTTGTCCTGCCCCTTCTACCTCTGATACAACCAACGTGCTTGCGGGGGTTCACGGAGCGTCCCATCAAAAGGCCTCGGCAGAGGCGTGTTTTCAGAAATGCGCCCTGCTCCAGGTAGGAGGCAACAGGCCCGGGCTGCGGCCCTGCGCAAGCTCTTACCCAGAGAGATCCCACACCCGCCAGACTCCTGCACAGTGGAGACGAGCCAGTCACCCCCACTCTCCAAATAAGGCCACACCCCAACTCCGGGAAGGCCATCTAAGGCGCTGTTGAAAGCCCCAGGCCCGCGAGGGCCGACTAACGAGGGATCACGAAGGTTCCGAGGCCGAGTCCTCGCAGCAGGGCGCCGGGCTCTGCAAAGGGACGCCGCTGAGGCCCCTCCGCCGGCAGCCTCCAAGGGGCCTGCTGGGAAATGTAGTCCCTCGCAAGGGGCGCCGGGAGTAGGAGGTGCCTTGACCCCAGCTCCGGAAGCCAAGTATGAGGGAGTCCTCCTAGCCCCCGAGAGTGGGATGCTGAGGGCCCCGAGCATCCTTATCCAGCCTCGGCCAAGGGGCGCTCTTTTCCTGGCCCGTCTTGCTTGCTTCTCACTTCCCAAAAAACTTTCCCCATCTGAGCCCTGGCATTCCTGGGAAGGGGGCGAAACGGTCAGAGTAGTGAGCACACCACAAAGAGCCGCGTAGGAACCGCCATCCCAGTCCTCAACTAGAGAGAAAACGGCTAGGGGCGAGCTTTCCTCAAGCGAGAAGTTGTAGAGCCCCGTGCCCACCGTTAAGCCAGATCACCGCAGCGAGCGTTCAGCCGGGCACCCAGGCCCGGCGGCCTTGAGCGCGCTCCTCCCCCAGGCTCCCGGACGCGCGCGTCACCTGGGAATTGAGAGAGGGAACGACGTGTCGAGGGCTGGACTACAGCGCTTCCTAGGGTCAGGAGGCGGTGATGGGGAGCCGGGCTGGAAAGCGCTGGAGGTTTAAGACGGCCACATTGAGGAGGGACGAGATGCAAGGTTAGGATTAGGGTGAGGCGAGTGAGACGCTGGCTTCTGGCACGGAATTTAAGCGGGCATCCCAAACTAAGTAATCAACGTAAATATTTTAATGCAATATTTCAAAAAATCAAAATTAATAAAAAAATTCATGGTGAACAAAAATATCTAAATTTTAAATAAAGACGGGATTCAACCCAGCATTTTCACGACCCTGCCTGACTCACCTCACCCTAATCATGGCCCTGGTTCCAATAAAACCTTATTTACAAAAACAGGTGGCTGGCAGTGGCTTTACTTGTCTGATTTTTAAAAAACTTGCACCAAAGTATTGTTTATCTTGATGTGAGTATTTTCGTGCCCCTTAAACTTTGCACTAGAGGCTAATGCCTCACACATCTTACCCTCGTGCCCCTCTGCCAAGTCCCTTCAGCTTTGGCAGCCACATATCTGCTCCGGTTCCCAGAAGTGGACTACATCTGGAAAGGACCCTGATTGTCGTCTAAGTTCTGCCACGAGCTGCCTGAGTGACCTCAGGCCAGTCACCACTCCCCCTTCGCCTCAGGTGGCCCGTGTAAAATTAGGAAGGGTCCAACTAAATGATTGAGAATAGGCCTGGTAGTTCTAAAAAGCAGTGATTCTCACAGGGTGGAACAAAAGATAAAGACTCAAAAATTTCACTAGAAATTCACATACCTGTATATGAGTACAAAATGGTCCTAGAACCACTGTTTCTAGTAGTCAAGAATTGGAAACAATCAGTTCATCAATAGTCAAATGGGTATATAAATTAATAGTATTTCAAACGGTGGAATACTACGCAGCAACAGAACGATTGACTACAACCATATGCGACTACAGGGATGCACCTTGCAAACACTGTGGCACAAAAGAAGCAAGACAGAATACATAAAGTCCAATTCCACTTTTATAAGGTCCAAAATCAGGCAAAGTCACAGACTATTGTTTAGAAACCCATATATAGATGAGAAACTATAAAGACAAGCAAGAAATTATTATCACAAATGTCAGGGTAGTGTTTATAGCCCTAGGAGAGACACCATTCCACCTTCTATGATGTTGGATTCACCCTCAGGCTGTATCCTAAATCCTGACCTCAAATCCTATGCCTCACATCCAGGGGAGAAGAGAACATCTTTTCTAGCAAATCCCAGTGAAAGAGAGAGGAAGTTTCTCTGTCTCAGAAGCCCTAGCACACATTTCTTCATATTCCATTGGATCTGAACCAATCACACTGACCAAGGGGAATGGGATACGTTGACAGGCTTAACTTAATTAGGGCCTGCCCTTGGATCTAGGGGTGAGATAAATCTTGCCCAAACCATAAGGCCAAGAATGGGAGGCAAGGGGATGTTAAAAAGAAAAAACAAAGTAGACTTCCAGTTTCCTGTCCAGCATGTTAGGAGCTTGGAAGTCATCACTCTGTTCTAACAAGTTAAAAACTGAATACACTGAAAATCAACAACTCTTCTTAGATCTTTCAGAGGATTGAGGTCGTGGGGCAAACTGCTGCTTCCAAAATTGAAGAGACAGACAGATAGACACAGAGAATCACATTTTACTGGAGTGCACCTCTGGAGCTGGCACTAGGGTAGGAAAACTTAAACTGTAATTGACAAATTGCTGGAGGCTCAGTGTAGACAAAGTTGAGAGTTAAAACCTCCAGGTGGGCTCAGTCTTAAGGGTCCCCTGCACTGTCATGAGTTTTACCTGCAGGAGCTCAACTAGGTTCTCATAGCAAAGGTCAAAGAAAACTCCTCTTGTGCTTCTGTTGGGGTGGGGACAGCCATTTTGAAATACACCCAGGGCATTCTTTTCTTCATAACAAGGCCTGCCCTCGACTGCAACTACATGAGGAGGGACAGAGAAGCACTTGTGAAGGTCACAGCCCAGAGGCACAGCCTCACTAAAAGACTCCCCTGGGACCTAATCATAGAACAATAGAATCTCTTCCCCCTGCACCTTACCACCTCACCAATAGCATTCCTGGATAACAATGATGGAATCCAAATGAAAGAAATGCATGTCTTAGACATTATTTGAGAAGAACTCTCTAGGAAAACCCAAGGACAAGAGGAGACAAAAACAAGGGCACCAGAGGAAATTTTAGCCTCAAACACCTACAGCTACAGCAAACAGTAAACAGAAAACACAGCCTAACTCCTAGCCAGATAAACATAAAATCTTACACAAGAGGCCTGTTTACTTCAGTTCCTTTCACCCGGTACCTCGTATCTGACTTTCAATAACAATTACAAGGCATAATAAAGACAAAAAACACACTTTGAAGAGACAGAGAAAGCATCAGAACCAGACTCAGGTATGGCAGAGATTTTGGGATTATCAACTGGGAATTTAAAATAATGATGATTAATATGCCAACAGCTCTAATGGAAAAAGTAGACAGCATGCACTACATGGGTAACTTAAGCAGAGAGATGGAAACTCTAAGAAAGAATTAAAAGGAAATGCTAGAAATAGAAAACCCTGTAACAGACATGAAGAATGCCTTTGTTAGCTCATCGGTAGACTGAATGTGGCTGAGAAGAGCTTGAGGAAGTACCAATAGAAACTTACAAAACTGAAAAGGAAAGAAAAAAAAGAATGAAAAAGATGCACAGAATAGCCAAGAACTGTGGGGCAATTGCAAAAAGTGTAACATATGTATAATGAAAATATCAGAAGGAGAAGAAAGAGAGAAGGGAACAGAAGAAATCCTTGAATTAATAATGGTTGAGAATTTTCCAAAATTAAAGACAGAAACCAAACCACAGATCCAGGGAGTTCAGAGAACACCAAGGAGAATAAATACCAAAAAAAAAAATCTAGGTGTATCATATTCAAACTGCAGGAAATCAAAGACAAGGAGAAAAATCTTGAAGGAAGCCAGAGGGGAAAAGCCAGAGGGGAAAACATCTTACTTGTAGAGGAGCAAGGATAAGAATTACATTAGACTTCTCTTCAGAAACGATGCAAACAAGAATAGAATGGAGTGAAATATTTAAAGTGTTGAAAGAAAAATCTCAGAATTCTGTACCCAGGGAAATTATCCTTCCAAAGTAAAAAAGAGATAAGGACTTTCTCAGACAAACAAAAATTGAGGAAATTTGTTGCCAGTAGACCTGCCTTGCAAGACATGTTAAAAGAAATTCTTCAGAAAGAAGGGAAATTATATAGGTCAGAAACTCAGATATACATAAAGAAAGAAAGTACATTAGGAAAAGAATAAAGGAGGGTAAGATAAAATATTTTATTTTTCGTATTCTCAATTGATTTAACGGATAATAATTTGTTCAAAATAATAATAGCAACATGTGTTTGGTGATTACAACTTACAGAAAAGTGCAATAAATGATAGTAATATTCTAAGGGATGGGAGGGAGAGTATTCTGTTGTAAGGTACATGTACTACCTGTGAAGCAGCATAGTGTTATTTGAAGGTGGACTTGGATTAGTTGCAAATGTATATTGCAAACTCCAGGGCAACCACTAAAAAAGGTGCATAAAAAAAGAAGTATGATTTACATGCTAAGAGAGGAGAGAAAAGGGAATCATATAAAATGCTCAGTTAAAACCAGAGAGGGCAGATAGAGTGGAAGACAAAAAACAAAAAATAACTACAGTAACAACAAGACAAAGAATATGGATAATGAATAGAAAATGGTAACACATGTAGTAGATATTAATCCGCTATATTAATAATCACTTCAAATGTCAATGGTCTAAATACAGCAATTAAAAGACAGGAGATTTCAGAGTGGATTAAAAACAAAAACAAAAACAAGACCTAACTTGATGTTGTGTACAAGAAATCCACTTCAAACTTGCTATGGTCTGAATGTATTCCCCCCAAATTCATATGTTGAAATCCTAACCTCCAGTGGTGATGGTATTAGGAGGTGGGTCCTTTGGGAGGTGCTTAAGTCATGAGAGTAGGACCCTCATGAATGGGACTAGTGCCTTATGAAAGAGGCTCTAGAGAGATCTCTAGCCCCTTCTGCCATGTGAAGACACAGTGAGAAGACATCGGCTATGAATAAGGAAAAGAATCCTCACCTGATCATGCTGGCACCATGATCTCAGACTTCCTAGCCTCCAGAACTATGAGAAATAAATTTTTCTTGTTAAAAAATAGATTTTTCTTGTTTCTCCCCAGTCTGTCATATTTTGTTATAGCAGCCTGAAAGGACTACGACAAACATAAAGACACAGATTAAAACTAAAGAGATGGAAAAAGATATGTCACACTAACACTAATCAAAAGAAAGCTGAAGTAGCTATGTTAATTTTAGACAAAGCAGACTTCAGAGCAAGGAGATCTACCAGCAAAAAAAGCGTGCTTTACATAGTGATAAAGGGGTAGATTCTCCAAGAAGACTACAATCATTAAAGTATATGCACCTAACAACAGAGCATCAAAATACATGAGGCATTGGGCCAGCATGGTGGCACAGCAGTTAAGTGCACACATTCTGCTTCGGTGGCCTGGGGTTCACTGGTTTGGATTCTGGGTGCAGACATGGCACCGCTTGGCAAGCCATGCTGTGGTAGCCATCCCACGTATAAAGTAGAGGAAGATGGGCACGGATATTAGCTCAGGGCCAGTCTTCCTCAGAAAAAAGAGGAGGATTGGCAGATGTTAGCTCAGGGCTAATCTTCCTCGGGGGAAAAAAATAATACATGAGGCAAGACTGATAAAACTGCAAGGAGAAATAGGTCAACTCACCTTTATAGTTGGAGACTTCAACACTCCTCTATCAGTAAGTGACAGATCCATAGGCAGAAAATCAATAAGGATATAGTGGAACTGAGCAGTACCATCAATGAACTGGATCTAATTGACATTTATAGAATATTTACCCAATAACTACATTCTTCTCAAGCTCACAGAGAACATTCACCAAGATTGGCCACATTCTGGGCCATAAGACACATCTCAACAAATTTAAAAAAATAGAAATCATGAAAAGTATACTGTAAGAGCACAGTGGAATTAAATTAGAAACCTGCAACAGAAAGATAATGGGAAAATTCCAAAATACCTACAGATAAAACAACACACTTCTAGATAACATATGGATCTCAAGAGAAATATTTTTAAAAGGAGATTACAGGAAGGAAGGGAAATGACTTTTCAATGATCTATCATTCATAACACTTTTGGTGAATATAAAAAACACTCAATTCAAATAGGCTTGAACAATAAGGAAATTTATTGTCTCACATAACAGGAATCCTGGAGGCAGGGTGGTTTTGTAGTCAATTAATTTAGTGGCCCTACAACATTATCAAAACCCAGGTTCTTTCCATCTTTCTCCTCTGCTTTCATTAGTATATTGGATTTTCTCTTCAGGCTTGTCCCCTCCTGGTCACAAGATGGCTGTGAC